GGACTGCACCTGGTACCCACTCAAGGCTGGTTGACCTAGGAGTCAATGTCATTTTTGAAAAAAATGTCTGGCTCCGTCAGGACGCGAATCCACAACCTTCCGATCTGCAGGCGGGCGTCGAGGCGTCAACGCCATGGTGACCCCCCCCCCCAGGGAACTATGCAGGTGTATAAAAAAATAAGCAAGCTGATAGACTTGCAGGCAAGACTTCTGTGGAGGGAAGATGAGCTAGGACTAGGCTGATATATTGAATGCTCTACAAGAAGTAAGATATTTACAAGAACCAAGTGATGACTACAAATCTGCAATCATGATAACACTGTAAGAAAAGCAAGTTAAACAGGATATAGCCAAGCAAGAGCACTATGCAGAATCCAAAGAATATAAATAAACCAACACAGAGCTAGTATCGTCAGCCGACTGGTCCGATTGGATCCGAGCACTTATATACTGATTGGTTGGATGTGCAATGAGTATGATCTGTTGACTAACTAACTAACTAACCAACCTTGGAAACTGACTTCAGAACCATTGCATCCTCTGGGGTTAAGGATATTGACTTTCGGAAACGGTCATCAACTTCTGAGCTTATGTGGCAAGTCATGTCCAAGATGGCAGAATAAGACTTGATGCTGTACTCGGAGAGTGCTTGCAGACCAACAACTGTGTCCTACAGAGACACACACATTCCATCATTTTATATTGGCTGGTAATTCTATGTGAGATACACACATGTGACACACACAGACAAAAACTATACGTGACATACATACATAGAGGTGACACACATACACACAAATAAGCTACATCACTGCAGCAAAACAATAATGGCTGCTGTTGAATTTGAACATATCTCAGAGTTGTTGATTCAGTTCAGATGTGCCACAGATTTTGCTCTGAACATTTTATAAGAATGACAGAGACAGACAACTCAGGTTACATTAATAGATCAAATATTCAGTTTGTAATCAGAGATATAATAGAGCATTTGTTGATACATGTTACTGGATGATATGTGTGATACATTTAATATTGGATATATAAACCACTGCCCTTCCAACAAGCATGTCTTAAAAGTTGACTAATTGTTGGTGTTTCCTTCAAAGTTGGAATGCATCTGCCTGGGAGGCAAAAAACCAATAGTCTGCATATAAATAAGCCAGATGTAAAATGGATGCGCAAGCAAAAGTTCTAGAACAAGACAAAAGTCCGGAAGTGGACAAACAACCAGAACTATCCACCAGAATTTACAGCCGGTGAACAAAAGAAAGATGAAAAAGAAGAAGAAAGCAGTCAGATGGTACAGTGATGATGACTGCTCTAACAATGAAGCCTTGGCTGTTGCAATAATAACTTCCACTGACCTGCTACACATGTAGCAGTGGTGGCACTTCCGACTGTTGCTTTATGCATTTAACTGCTGGATTTGCTAAGACTGCAGTGTGCCAATGTTTTAATTGCAAGGGACAGATTCGAATACTGTGTGGTTTTTGTTGGGCACAGGAACGGATTAGCTATGGGATGACCAGTTTGCTTTGAAGCTGAAACTGCAATTACCCAATTACATGGCTTGCTATACCAGCAGCTCAACCTTGTAGAATAAAAGCTGTGTAATGTAGTCATTTTTAGCATGTGTCCAGTAAGACTTCTGGCACAGAAAGAGGTAATATAATATTGTTTACCATTCACGCCTTCTGACTACATAAAGATTCAAAAAAATCCTCACATTACAAATGTACTATTTACTCAGAAGACAAAACTAAGTCATCACGCGGCTCATCAACGTGTGCACAAATGAACATTCAAATTATTTTAGTTTAAAAACAACTAAATCAGAAAAATCTAGCTAAACCAAACAATCTAGCTAAATCAAACAATCTAGCTCAACTAAACCAAACAATCTACATCAACTAAACTAGAACAATCTACTTCAACAAAACCAAACAATCTACCTCAACTAAACCAAACAATCTACATAAACTAAACTAAACAATCTAGCTAAATCAAACAATCTAGCTAAATCAAACAATCTACCTCAACTAAATCAAACAATCTACCTCAACTAAACCAAACAATCTACATCAACTAAACTAAACAATCTACTTCAACAAAACCAAACAATCTACCTCAACTAAACCAAACAATCTACCTCAACTAAATCAAACAATCTACATCAACTAAACCAAACAATCAACATCAATTCAACAAAGAACAATCTACTTCAACAAGCTTACCTCAACTAAACCAAACAATCTAGCTAAAGCAAACAATCTACCTGCGTTGAAATAAATGCTCCATGGGAGTTCCGTTGCTGCAGCAACCATCCCACAATGCTTGTGCCAGTTGTAATATCACCACGTGCCAGAAAAGTCAAGAGAGCATATGCCGTGACCTCAACTGCCAGGGCGCTTGGCTTCTTGGCATACCAGTATGGCTTTTGGTGATCTCCAAAGTCTGACTCACCGCCTGGCACCCAGTAGGTGAAACCTGAAAAAGTGAAAGAACTATGATGTCAGTAGATATATTCTAGTAACATTTAGCAACATCTCCATCTAATCATTGGAGTAGGACAAATATTTGTACACCAAAAGAAATATATTCCCAAGTATTGACTGCACTTATAGAAATGCTGGAGTAGGCAGAAATAAGAGCCAATACACTAGAAAATTTTAACAGTGAAAATTACATTGACCAAGATTTGAACCTGCCATCTCCAAAGAATGACAGCACTCAATGAAGGAGCAAGGGTGCACCATCAAGCCCACTTAAACACACACACACACCCACCCATGCACGTACAGTCACACATACAAACACACACACACCCACCCATGCACGTACAGTCACACACACAAACACACACACACACCCCATGCACGTACAGTCACACATACAAATATACATTATATCAAAACCAAATATGTCACAGACTTCTCTTCTGCATTTTCTCAGATGATAGGAAGTCTTACCAGGAAAATAAAAAGGTGGGTAGGTTGGTAGTTGTACCCCATCGGGACATCACACAAGCGACATACACCCGGTGACACAAAGTGCCACCATGCGGATGAGGATCACCCGTGGAGAGGACCCAGAAACCCCTTTCAGCCGTTAGGCCATATCTATGGCTAGGCCATATCTATGCCCTGGCTATATTCAAAGCCCCCGACAGAAGCGCCAGGGTAGGGCTTCAAATAAAAAAATTGCATCCCGCATAGGGACGACTTTTTTTTATTATATAGAATAAAAAGAGAGATTGGATTAGATTTTATACCCCACCAGGACATCACACAAGCAATAAACACCCGATGACACAAAGTGGCACCATGTGGATGAGGATCACCCGTGGAGTGGTCCCAGAAAAATCATTCAGCCATTAGGCCATATTTATGGTCAGGCTATATTGGTATGTCACAATTTTTAAGGGTGACTAAAGGTGCCTGAGCTGTTAGGATCTGACACTCCTGTCACCGTTGGTCATCATTATTCAAGTATACACACACAGATATACAAGTCAGGCATGTTATGATAAACAGCCCACTTTTCTACCAAAAATCTGGCATGGGTGCTAACATGGACATTGTCTTTCTAAAAACTTAACTAATTATCAAATGCCTTTTTATTCCAGCATCCAGTTATATTGACTGAAATATTTATAAATCCAAATTATTTTCAAACTGCCTAACTCACATGTTTTGAGTTTCACACCCATGTAAATTTATTCCCTGATTCCTATTCTGTGTGACGTGAGACCATGTGGTTGAAATGAGAATCTACTTTAAAACATGATTGTGTGTGTAAGCGTTTTAACCCCTGAAAATAGCACTAATGTAAAGAGAGCAGAACCATTTACACAGCTGACTGTTGTCTCTCTCAGCGAGATTAAACTCATGTGCTCGGAAATAATATTTATGAGAAACTGTTGTTTATGAAATATTTCCCCCATCAGGAATATAGATTCTGTTCAGTAAACACCATTTTATACCTAACTCAAGAATGTGAAAACATGTTACTACCCTACTCCATATGTGTGTGAGTGTAACAATATATGAGGACTGAAGGCAGTGCGGTCTTCAGCCAGAACTTTCCCAACTGCGTCTACAGGGACTGTTCAATTTCTTTAGTTTTAGGTGAGTTTCCAGGTGGAGGTTCCAGGTGATGTTCTAGTGTAGCTGCAGGTGTCTGTCTAGACTGGATTAGAAGAAACGACCTGCCCAAAGTATCTCCAAGGCTGAGCCAGAAGCTGTCCCAAGGATCACGAGCTACAGATAAGTGGACATAATGGTCTACTATGTCCCTCTGTAATCCCAGACCATTTTTATCTCCCGAGCCAGTCTAACGATTAGTTTGACTTTTCCAATTAAATGTAATAGTTGGTAATGCTTCTTCCAGTGTTGTGAAATTCATTTTAACTGTATTCAGTCTATGTCAGCGAAAAATAGCTACTACAATTTAACTATATACAGAAATATACCATTCATATAACAGTAGGGAATCAGATGTGGCGAACCCTGAATCCTCTCCTTTAACGAACTAGGTTGAGAGATAGATCAGATCTTTTAGGATGTTTCACTGTTTGAGATTCCCTTGGTATGCTGTCTACTTTTGAAGTTTGTCTTTCAAATTGTGCACTGGTAGTAAAGCAAACTTAGGACAACAGTATTTTCAACATCAGTCATTAACTGTCTTGTACAGAAAAGAAGAGGAATTCTATTATACTACCTTCTGTAGACAGCACACACAGCATCTGAAATAACAAAGCAAATTCTGCGCCACACACTCATAAAGGCTAAGTGCCTCCTGATATACATTTTCTGATGGAAGGATCAGAGAAGAAGAAGAAGAGGAGGAGAAGGTGGTCATGTTCTAATATTTAACATTCTATTATGACCACTGTCAGTGGGTAGCTCAATTAATTATATTATGAAGGAAGAACACAACAAATCTCTGTGTTTGCAAAATAATTTCACTCACAATTTAAAACAAAGAAGAATGTAAAATACCTTCTGGTGGAAGATTTTGCCATCGACATCAAGCGTTTGACCAGTGTGTCACTGTGAGGACTTCCTGCCAACGTCAAGGCATAAGCACTTAAAGCAACCGCCAGTGGCCTGTCCGTCTGACCAATGTTAGCTTCTATATATCCCTGACTTCTGTCAATGATTTCCTTCTGGTTCTACATAAACAAACAAACAACCACAGAACATAAGATGGTGGCTACTGAGAAAACAATAAACAATCCATTTAGAAACTGTCATAAGGAGCAAACATTTCATGTTAATTAGGTCCCAGCTTCATGAGGTGAGGTGATCAGTTTTCTTCTACTCCCCGAAGAAAGGAATGGTCATATAGAAAGAACAGATATAATAGGCACTATTAACTCTTTCAGGCAGATAACATTTAAAGTATTCATTTCCAGAAAGTTTTTAAAATGTTTTAACTTAGACTGAGTCTGCCACATTGAGTTAAAATAGAAAAACCGTGAGAGAAAAGGAGATCAAGCAGTTATTGGTGCAAAGTGGGATGGTACAATAACTGGATGTAGCTGGAGCAGTTCAGCAGAAAAATGTTTTTACTCAGGACCCAACATACTCAGGGGGTGTTGCTTGGTACTGACTGAGTTAACCCTTCCGCCTTGGCTAGCCACAAATCCAGCATTTCCTGTAGGGTTGACAGTTTGCCACTTTCTGATGATTCAACTCTACATTTCTGTTTTAAAAGTAACCTTACCAGAGATGAGAAAAAAGAATCTTGTACGAGTGATAGAAGACAAAAAGGGCAGGATGTCAAACTAGCTTGCTGTTAAGCTCTCAGCTAATTCAAAATCAAATTTTTCAGTCAATTATTCATTAACTTTTTTTCATATCATAATCTCAAATACATTTAATGTAAAACAAACACATGACAGCTTAGATCACTAGCTATTTGGCTTTATACAGCCAACATCAGGTCAGTTCACACAAGGAAACAGTTTCTGGAGTTCTCTCCAGCCTGATAAGAGTTTAGTTCTGATTCAACACAAGACTTGAGACTACACCACGGGTTTAGTGCTGATTCAACACAAGACTTGAGACTACCGCACGGGTTTAGTTCTGATTCAACACAAGACTTGAGACTACCGCACGGGTTTAGTGCTGATTCAACACAAGACTTGAGACTACAGCACGGGTTTAGTTCTGATTCAACACAAGACTTGAGACTACAGCACAGGTTTAGTTCTGATTCAGCACAAGACTTGAGACTACAGCACAGGTTTAGTTCTGATTCAACACAAGACTTGAGACTACAGCACAGGTTTAGTTCTGATTCAACACAAGACTTGAGACTACAGCACAGGTTTAGTGCTGATTCAACACAAGACTTGAGACTACCGCACGGGTTTAGTTCTGATTCAACACAAGACTTGAGACTACAGCACAGGTTTAGTTCTGATTCAACACAAGACTTGAGACTACAGCACAGGTTTAGTTCTGATTCAACACAAGACTTGAGACTACAGCACGGGTTTAGTTCTGATTCAACACAAGACTTGAGACTACAGCACGGGTTTAGTTCTGATTCAACACAAGACTTAAGACTACAGCACAGGTTTAGTTCTGATTCAACACAAGACTTGAGACTACAGCACAGGTTTAGTTCTGATTCAACACAAGACTTGAGACTACAGCACAGGTTTAGTGCTGATTCAACACAAGACTTGAGACTACCGCACGGGTTTAGTTCTGATTCAACACAAGACTTGAGACTACAGCACAGGTTTAGTTCTGATTCAACACAAGACTTGAGACTACCGCACGGGTTTAGTTCTGATTCAACACAAGACTTGAGACTACAGCACAGGTTTAGTTCTGATTCAACACAAGACTTGAGACTACAGCACCGGTTTAGTGCTGATTCAACACAAGACTTGAGACTACAGCACAGGTTTAGTGCTGATTCAACACAAGACTTGAGACTACAGCACGGGTTTAGTGCTGATTCAACACAAAACTTGAGACTACCGCACGGGTTTAGTGCTGATTCAACACAAGACTTGAGACTACAGCACGGGTTTAGTTCTGATTCAACACAAGATTTGAGACTACAGCACGGGTTTAGTTCTGATTCAACACAAGATTTGAGACTACCGCACGGGTTTAGTCACAAAGTACATGCTATGATTTTGATTATGCCCTTGAATGATCAGTTTTACAATTACCTCCCCTTGGCAAGCACACTCCAGCAAAGCTGTTAAGATGTAAGCAGCATGGGATACGTCACCATTGATACCACCCTGGCAGATGAGAATGAAAACATATTAGAAGTTTATGCTGTGTCAAATCAAAGACTTAAGGACAGTTTGTTTTTAAACAGTCCTACCCGACATCTAGTTTTGTGATTATATATAAAAGTACGCCTAGGAAATTACTGTAATTTCCATTAAATCAGAGATTTTAAATTATTTATTTAATTATTTCATTTTTGCTCATCTTTGGGAGTTCAGATACTGGTAACTAACACAAGATGACACATGACTGAGACATATGACTGAGAAGATAAGACAGGTGACTGACTCAAGCTGACACATGACTGTGAAGAGATGACAGTTGAAGGATACAAGATGACTCATGACTGAGAAGAGATGACAAGTCATTTACCCAAGCTGACACATGACTCAGGAGAGATGACAGGTGACTGACACAAGATGACACATGACTGAGAAGAGGTGACAGGTGACTGACATAAGATGACACATGACTGAGAACAGAGGACAGATGACAGGAATGATTTGTTCTCAATTTTTTCTTCTATCATCTTCTAAGAGAGCAAAGACCCTCCATCAACTACAGACTTCATGACCTAGGGGAATTTAAAGCTACAGTTGTGGATGGAATGATGAAGCCACTCTCAGGCCAGCAACTCTTTGTCAGATTTTATGAAATACCAAAATTTTACTCTTTGCTTTCCCTACTTGACCTGATAATGCACTGGCAACATCCAATAGGCCGCTCTACAAATGTGAACTTCCAGCATCTGGACTCTATATTGGATTTTTTTTTACAAGCTTGGACAGGATAGAGATGGCTCTGCAACAGATCTTATGGAGAACAGGGTAGAGATGGCTCTGTGACAGATCTTGTGGAGAACAGGGGAGAGATGGCTCTGTGACAGATCTTGTGAAGAACAGGGTAGAGATGGCTCTGCAACAGATCCTGTGGAGATAGTATTTTGGAGAAAGGTTTCTATATCAGCCTCTTTCTGAAAACACAATCTCTGTTTGAATCATGTCAACTGACAGCCAATGCACTGGACTTGAGAGTTACAACTTAAGTCTGTCAAAGATACACAACCACCCAGGGAAGCCAGAAAACAACAAACTAATCAGCCACCCCACACTTGACCATCACTGATTCTACTCACCAACATTTCTCTGTGTGTGACCCAGGTTTCCTCCTTGAAGCTTCCGTCTAAGTTCTGCTGCTGAGCGATCCAGTGGAAGGACTCACATGTCTGGTTGTGGTCTATAGTGATGTAATGTTCTGCCTGGCACAGGGTTTTCATGGCAAATGCGGTCAGCCTAGAGAGAAAAATCAGGCCACTTAATTGAGACTGAGCCTTCAAACTCAATCAATTGTCTTCTATATTTTATCATCCATCCAGGAAGCCAAACTGACTCCTGCGAATTTTGAGGAATTAAAACTGAACCTACAAATAAATAAATGACTGGCCACTTCAACTCATTATGCCAAGACTTGGTAGTCAATGGGAATCGCTACCAAAAAATCAATGAGATACAAACAGACTGATCAACATCTCATACAAAGCATATTCATTCCAAACATATGCTAACTCACAAAAAAGCACACAAGAAAATTAGTAAACATGGAAATTAGATGTCTGAAAAGGGCTGCAGCTGCAGGATTGACCAGATAAGATAAAATAAAGAATGAGGACACAAGAAAAAAAAAAGTTGGCACTGAACCAATTCTAAATTACATACAGAGAGCAAACCAAATGGTTTGTCCATTCAGAGAGAATGCACTGCAACACTATACCATACAAGGCAGACACTAGAAGAGGAGAGGAACACAAAGCACAAAGTAGGCCAAGAACAAGATGGACAGAAATGTCTAGAGAAATTCTACAAAAGTGGGGAGTCTGGTGGAGGTGGCCAGAAATGCAAGAAGCAAAATTTACATCTCCCTTGACATCTGAAGCGATCCATTTTGTGATTATAATCACACCCATTAGAAGTTTATGTGACTAATTTTATGTAAAAAACAAAGCACATCAACTTTTTAGATTATCAATCAAATATTCCTTAGAAAGGCTAAAATTATTTCCCAGTTTTGATCTTAAATTTGCAGTACTTATTTCAACTGCGCCTATTTTATGACTTTCTCATTACAAATTATTAGATGTAACAGGTGAAAAGAGAAAGATGAGAGCACTCAGATAGAAAAGAAAAGTAAATCAACACAGTACTGTTGTCATCAGTAGCTACACACTGAGAAATAACCTGAGGAACAGAACTAAGCACTTTAGGACCGAATATTTTGATACACACCAATGATGGTCTGACATGATATCATCCAACCAACCAATGATGGTCTGACATCATATCAACCAACCAACCAATGATGGTCTGACAAGATATCAACCAACCAACCAATGATGGTCTGACATCATATCAACCAACCAACCAATGATGGTCTGACAAGATATCAACCAACCAACCAATGATGGTCTGACATCATATCAACCAACCAACCAATGATGGTCTGACAAGATATCAACCAACCAACCAATGATGGTCTGACACAACCAACCAACCAATGATGGTCTGACAAGATATCAACCAACCAACCAATGATGGTCTGACAAGATATCAACCAACCAACCAATGATGGTCTGACAAGATATCAACCAACCAACCAATGATGGTCTGACAAGATATCAACCAACCAACCAATGATGGTCTGACAAGATATCAACCAACCAACCAATGATGGTCTGACAAGATATCAACCAACCCAATGATGGTCTGACAAGATATCAACCAACCAACCAATGATGGTCTGACAAGATATCAACCAACCAACCAATGATGGTCTGACAAGATATCAACCAACCAACCAATGATGGTCTGACAAGATATCAACCAACCAACCAATGATGGTCTGACAACATATCAACCAACCAACCAATGATGTTCTGACAAGATCAACAAAGATGGTCTGACAAGATATCAACCAACCAACCAATGATGGTCTGACAAGATATCAACCAACCAACCAATGATGGTCTGACAAGATATCAACCAACCAACCAATGATGGTCTGACAAGATATCAACCAACCAACCAATGATCTACATCTCCAGATAAATCTTTTCTTCTTCTGTGTTTATCCAAAGATGTAATTGCATTGTGCCCGTTTACAGCATGGCTGCCATATTTATGCCTTTAGGCAGATACATCTGACTTCTGCAGGCATTTGTTGACTGGGTTAGTCTTCTCAGTGAAAATCTGATAATTTTCAAATCTCTGTTTTGCTGTTTGGGTGAGAAACCTATTCTTATCAGTCAGCAGGCTAATTCTAGAAACAGTAACTGTGAGATAACACTATTACTTATCTGTAGCTGCCACTACTCCAGACAGTAGTGTTATATAGTTTGTGACTGTGACTGGAAAGACGGCCCACATCAAGACAAGTCTCCCACGATTATAACAAGAGATTTAAGGAACGTTGTTGCTATTATTTATATTTAGTGTGTTTCTTTCATTCGCTGAGCTCTTATCCTTGCTGCAGTCATTTCTTCCTTCATACTCATTCCCTTCCTGATGTGCTTCCTCCATGCAACACGGTTCCATGGCATTGTGTTCCTCTAAGTTCATCTCAATACCTGTATCATTTATGTCACACTTGCACACAACTTTATATCATAGTAGATGTCCCATATAGAACAAAACTTGCGCACTATTATAGAGACCAAATATTTCTAATGCATCATGATCCCTAACTTGACCTGCATTGTTTACTATAAAGGAAATGTAACACCAGTACTTTCGAAACAAAGCAGGCTGCTGAAGTAGCCAGATCAGAAAAGCAGTGGGGATCTGTCCGCCTGTCATAGCTTCCCTCCTAGACCAGCTGCCAGCCAAGACTAAGGGCCTGGTCTGCCTTGCCATAACAGTTTTCATGTTGCATTTCCTTTTCCTAGAACAAAGCTTGCATCCTCCCCAGTGTGCTCCTCCACCTGAAGCCATTGGCACAATATGAGATGTTAGGTTTGGTATACACACCCAACATTCAGCGTTAACAGAAGACAGGTAGTACCAACTACTGTTATACAGTAGCTTATTCATTTCTGAACAAGATCTGACCTCAATATAAATTATTTACAGTATGTTAAAATGCATACTGGCATATGAAACAAGTACAGTCTAAAGGCAACATTACATGTTTACCAGGTGCTTGAGTCGGCATGTGGCCAGGTAGCATAGGATGCATCTGGTTTTCTGAAGGTCATCTGTCTGGCAACACCTAGGAAAAATGTTTAAAAATTTCAAATCAATGTTTTCCTGTTGGGAATTAAAAAACATTAGGACAAAAACAGTGCGCCCCACAATTAATTACTGGCAATGCTGAATTAAGTTGATATATTAGTAGCACAAAGAATGAAATCCTTCAACTCAGTCTCTTTTTGTGTGTGATTTCTGTATTTTAGTTAAAATGATTAATTTATTAGTAGTTATTTAATTAACAATATCCTATTCAACCCATCTGGGTTTTAATTGAGGTAAATATACTTTTTCTTTTTCTATTCTGGGTATTTATCTCTGTCAATTATTTTTTTTTAAAACTAATTTAATATTGCATAGATGATATATTAAGTTTAAGAGATAGGATCTTAATAGCAGTGCGTCCACATGACTAAAATGCAAGAGCTTGGAGTAAAGACCAGCAGAGCCAGGCATGAGAGGAACACTGGACTAAAGGAATTCTTGTTACAATTTTTCAACATTGGATGTGCACTATAGATTGTGGGACGCTGGTGTACATGTTCAAGGGGAAATCTGAGCACCTACAGACGTGTCCCGAGTGTCATGAAGGTAACCCAGCTCATAACTTCAGTCATGGTTCCCGGAATGTGATGTTTTACATGTGCTCCTCTGTAATCTTTCAGTACAATTGTCTTTTACCATACACCCCAAAGTGTTTAAACTTGTATCTGCTTATGTAGTATAATTAAGTGAATAACACTTTTTTTAGGGGCAATATGGCAGTGCACACTGTTGTGTTTTCTAACCGCCATTAATTATACACAAGGAAAATCGAATTTGTGAATTATTTATGCTTAGTATGATGCAAAAATAACAAAGGAAGTCAATAATTTCTAGATTTTCGCCAGTGTTATGGAGTTTTTTGCAATCTGAGCTGAAACCATCTTGAAAATATGTTCAACCGCATGCTGCGGATGCGATGTATTTGCTGTCTTCATGCTGGAACATTGTTGGTTTTGACCACACAAGGCCCACAGATGTACAATTAGTGGACTGGCTTACTGGGAGGGCCATGGTAGGTACAGGAAAAGCAATGGGCAGGGTCGACATTCTCAATACTCTCAAGGAGGCAGGACGAGAAGATGATTCAGGAGACGACTGTAAGTCAGCAACACTCAAAAGACTACAATATTTTCAGGTCAAAAGAGGTGTTACCAAACATGAACACTATACAGGTAGTCAAAGAAGAACAGTAAACCAATACAGAACTGGTGTTAGCAGTCGCCACATACTGGGAGATATACTGAAAAAAGGATATGAGTGCTTATGGACTTGTATGATGTGCAGTGATGAAAATCTGTCAATTCAGTAACTAACTAACTAAATAACACTTTTTCAACATCTGGAACAAAACAGCCTTGCAGTTTTCTTTCTTACCCTGTCTGATAAGAATAGTTGCTTTCTTTTCAATGACTGCCGACAGTCGACGGGTCGACCGGAGGTATCTTGTCACGTACACATTTGGGGCAAGATAGATCAAATTCTGTTCACCACATCCAGTTGGCATACGCAACAGTTCAGCCACACCTTCAATTGTGACCTGTAATGTTGATTATGTTAACCAACCTGCAGATCTCCTGTTTTTCTTGGCCAGCCATGGCAAACAACACATGCCTGATTATCCTAACCAACCTGGCCAAACAAACAACACATCCTCAAACAACACATGCCTGTTTTCTTGGCCGCTTTGCCTGTTTTCTTGGCCGCTGTGCATCTACCTTATAAACAAACACACTTGCCCACTCAGACACGCACACAAATGTAGAAACATTGAGCTGTCAGTTGGTGTTGTGCTTGAACCTAGGGGCATGGACGCTAGGGGTCATGGATGCTAGGGGTCATGGATGCTAGGGGTCATGGACGCTTGTGTTTTGTACAAAGTGTAAGTTCACACATTCTCTCTTAGCTGATTTAATAAGAGTAAGCCAAACTTCATGGAGAGATGGAGTTACACATTGACAGATGTTCATGATGATGATGATGATGATGATGACAATGATGATGATGAATCATGATGTGCTTGATGCTGATGATGATGACAATCAAGAGTTTGCACCCATGGCATGAACTGTACAACTGTCGGTGTCGGGGATGACTTCCTGCGGCAGGTTCAGATCCAGCTCTACGCTCTGACGTTTCTCTTCAACCCGGACTTCATCTGAAGACAACAAGGAGAACAAGGACAGACTGACTGACTGACTTTCTACCCCACCAGGATCACTGTGGAGAGGTCCCAGAAACCGCGTTCAGACAATTGGCCATATTGATGGCCTGCCTATATTGCGGCCCCTGGCAATAGCCAGAGTGGGGTTTCAAATAACAAAAAAATTACGTCCTAAGAAGGACATAAGGAGTAGATAGCTGCATGAACAAATGTCCTGTACTGAACATAAAATGGCCTAGCAACATCACACACTGCTAACAGAAGCTGGGATGTGTTTATGATGCTATATAAAGGATATACAATCAACCGGCTCCTACTGCTGCTATTATGTTTATGGCTACAACAAGGAAGGCTTTTTTTATACAGTACCAGCACCTTCTTTAAAGCATTGTTTCTTCAGTGCTAGTGAGGCAGACACTGTGATGAGTATCATTATTTTGATTAGACACTATTGTGAGTAGCGGCACCTTTTTTTGTTGTTGATGTAAATAACGGCACCTTTTTTTTGTAAATTAAAAAAAAACTCGCTTTTATAGTAAAAAATCTTGCCTGCAAAAATACCACCCCAAAAAAAAAAAATGTAAAAAAAAAAAAAAAAAAAAAAAAACCCTATTACTACTACGAGTAAAATATTAGTTTCTACTACCACTACTATTTCTAACCACTACTACTTCTACTACTTCTACAACTACCACTTCTGAAATCTCAATACCACTAATTTTTCACCCACCTTTGTTAACTCTTTCCTATGCCTGTACAGCTACTGCAGAAGATCGTCCGGCAACATCAACTCTCTATCCTTTAATTAATGCCTGGTAAGCCTTATAAAAATCAACCAAAAAATAACATTTTTGACTGCTTGAAACTGATGCAAAGCTCTACACAGCTAATCATCATCATGTAGCAGGTCCTTTGCAGAATGAGGCTCTCATCACAGTCTGCCTAAAAGAAAATCGGTCCCTTGCCAGTTCTCCCGCCTCATGAACTTTCACACTCAAGGAGTCACTTATATCCTGTGTCCATCTTCGTGTCGGTCAACCCCTGCCCCTCCTTCCTGGTACCATGCCTTCTGCTATAATTTTTTTCCAATCCGTCGTGGCGCTTAAAATGACCAAAATATTTCAGCTTTCGAGAAAGGATGCTCTTCATTAGCCAATCTTCCTTGATGATCATATCTTTCAAGATGTCAATATTTCTCATCTTCTTTGTCCAAGATATTCTGAGAATCTTTCTATAGCATTTCAGCTCAAAAGCCCCTATTCTCTTTCTTAAGGACTGAGAGATAGTCCACGACTCACATCCGTATGTAGCCACAGGGAAGATGCATGCTCTCAAAATTCTAATTTTTATCTCCTTGCTGGTGCTTAACCATAGACTTTTAAGGCTGTTCAGTCTTTGCATTGCCATGGCCATCCTCCTTTTAATTTCTGTCGAACAGTCTTCATTGTTGTTTATATAGAGCCTAGATATTCAAAATTTGTGACATTTTCAATTTCTTCCTCATTTATTGTTATTTTTGGGTGACATCCACTTTTATCTGTGGATTTTTTCTTCGATCTTTAAATTCAAGAACAGATTTTGATCTTCACTGTGCTTTTGGACAGACAAAATTACATTTTCTATTCCCTTTACACTGTTCAAAAGGAGGACTGTGTCATTGCTACATTAAGGAAAGACAAAATGATTGTAGAAAAACTGTTATCAGTAGAAAAATTAGAAGTAGCCTTCAGCATTATGTTCCTAAATGTGTTACTTTAAGTTTGATGTACTCACTTTTGACAGAGAATGAGTGATTGGATGAACCACTCCGGAGAAAGCGTTTCCCACTCGGGTCCAGCATGACAGAGATTGTGTGGATCTTCTCTAAACCCTCTCCCTAGATGTGGGGGAGAATATTGTATGTTTTTAATGTAGGAGAAATTAATATAAACTTTTAATGTATGAATACTTTAAATAAAATAGTTGCATTTTTTCCTGTATGGACAGCTACATTATTTTTTTTTAAAACTGATTGACTAATTTGAGAATCAACATCATAGCACACAGGCAAACCCATAGATGCTCCATCTCCTGCAGCAAATGACGTAAGGTGTAGATGCTGAGTCTTCCCGTAGCACACTGATTATACGCACGTCATTCTCATCCTCTCATCCATCCCTGTTTGCTGGATCAACACTTAATTCCTTGTTTACATATTGTTGCCCATGTTATTTCATCTAATCTCGTGTCTTCTGCCAAAATTCATTTATATTTATCTCCCTTGTCCAATACGAGTGCTCCCGTAGCTTTCGGTTTTGTAGCCAGAAAATCCACTCTTTCATTCCCTCACACTCCTGCATTTTCCAGACAGTATTTCCACGAGATTCCATGCAATGTTGGCATACTGATGAATGCTATCCACTCATGCAACACTCATGCTACTGCTGCTATTCCTGCTGCTGCTACTACAACTGCTCTAACAGCTGCTGCTACTACTACTAATAAAACCACGACATGCTAATAATCTTTAAGAAGAAGTTATAATCATCATGTGCCTTAGCATAGTGTGTTTTGAAAAAATCTCACTCACAAGTTTTGGTCCTAGGTGTTCTGGATCAACTGTATTGAGATATTAACTCTTTTCTGTCTAAGGTAGTCACAGCATTCATCCCAACAGTTCTACAAGGTGACAATGTCCTACAACACCCACTGACATCATCTCTGACTCCAGTCTGTATAGATGACCCACTGACATCGTCTCTGACTTCAGTCTGTATAGATCACCCACTGACATCTTCTCTTACTCCAGTCTGTATAGATCACCCACTGACATCTTCTCTGACTCTAGTCTGTATAGATCACCCACTAACATCATCTCTGACTGTATAGATCACCCACTGACATCTTCTCTGACTCTAGTCTGTATAGATCACCCACTGACATCTTCTCTGACTCTAGTCTGTATAGATCACCCACTGACATCTTCTCTGACTGTATAGAACACCCACTGACATCTTCTCTGACTCTAGTCTGTATAGATCACCCACTGACATCTTCTCTGACTCTAGTCTGTATAGATCACCCACTGACATCTTCTCTGACTCTAGTCTGTATAGATCACCCACTGACATCTTCTCTGACTGTATAGAACACCCACTGACATCTTCTCTGACTCTAGTCTGTATAGATCACCCACTGACATCATCTCTGACTCTAGTCTGTATAGATCACCCACTGACATCATCTCTGACTCTAGTCTGTATAGATCACCCACTGACATCTTCTCTGACTCTAGTCTGTATAGATCACCCACTGACATCTTCTCTGACTCTAGTCTGTATAGATCACCCACTGACATCTTCTCTTACTCCAGTCTGTATAGATCACCCACTGACATCTTCTCTGACTTCAGTCTGTATAGATCACCCACTGACATCTTCTCTGACTTCAGTCTGTATAGATCACCCACTGACATCTTTCTCTGAGTCCAATATGTTTAGATTCAAACGAGCTTATGAACATCATGTGGTGGTTTTCACTGGCTTGCCACATTCACAAGGAATTTGTTGTCTTAACCTTTAACTGTGTTTCAACTGTCTGGACGTGTCAGTGCCTTGTCCTGGTCACTTGCAGACTTGCCCACCTGTACCTGAGGACGCCTCAACCTAGGTGAAACATGAGTTCCCATTCCTACTGACTAAATGCACCTACCTCTACTCTCAGTGTTTTCTCAACTGCATCCCTTCCCCATGATGACACAGCCATGACCCTGATAGGAAAATCTCCAATTTCCAAAGGAATGATAGGGAAATAAGCTGATGCCGCATCGTTTGGCTCAATCTCCAACTTGACAGCTTCTGTTTTCTGGCCAGGCTGACCTGAGTAACAGATGCCATCCATACTTTGTAGCACCACATTTACCTGGCAAAAGAATTAAATAGATTTTAGTCAGCAAATCAGAAATGGACAGTTTTTGGTTGGTTGGTTAGAACTGTGACCATCAAACCAAGAGATTCAGGTTCTGAAATCCATAGGCAACCATTTTCAATTATTTTATGTAAAATGAAAGCTTTGCCAAAAAACTGTATGATAATGATAGCAGTGAGCACTGAACTGACAATACATATCTATTTCACCTACAGAATCGTTATTCTCTTTGTCTCTCAGTCCATATTAAACTCTTTGTCTCTCAGTCCATATTAAACTCTTTGTCTCTCAGTCCATATTAAACTCTTTGTCTCTCAGTCCATATTAAACTCTTTGTCTCTCAGTCCATATTAAACTCTTTGTCTCTCAGTCCATATTAAACTCTTTGTCTCTCAGTCCATATTTTAAACTCTTTGTCTCTCAGTCCATATTAAACTCTTTGTCTCTCAGTCCATATTTTAAACTCTTTGTCTCTCAGTCCATATTAAACTCTTTGTCTCTCAGTCCATATTAAACTCTTTGTCTCTCAGTCCATATTAAACTCTTTGTCTCTCAGTCCATATTTTAAACTCTTTGAGTCCCAGAATTTTAGATAAGCTGCCAAAGAGGGGCAATAAATTGATGAAAAAAGTATGCCTGGGACATAGCCAATACTCTGTGACATAGCCAATACTCTGTGACATAGCCAATACTCTGTGACATAGCCAATACTCTGTGACATAGCCAATACTCTGTGACATAGCCAATACTCTGTGACATAGCCAATACTCTGTGACATAGCCAATACTCTGTGACATAGCCAATACTCTGTGACATAGCCAATACTCTGTGACATAGGTAATACTCTGTGACATAGGCAATACTCTGTGACATAGGTAATACTCTGTGACATTAAAATATCTAACCAAATTTCTTTAGAATGCTGAGGCCAAATAATCAAAGATGTAATATAACACCTAGATCGGTGTCTGTGGCTTAGGTGTTGTGAACACGCTTTGTAATGTCAGAATGCGGGGTGTCGTGTGCAAAATCACTGGGGATTGTAAAGAGATAATGAAGTCTGAACTTTATGTTGACAGGTTAGAAAGGTAAACATCTGGGGTCACTGGAAGTCAGTGGAGTGTGAGCCACTGGGGACATGACTCTTGCAGACATCACGGATATTGTGCCATCCATGTTAGTCGACAGCACAAGCGGGTTGGGAACCCTGAGTGAGAATGAGATACCCTTGTAACTAATGGTGGGAGGGAAGAGTTGCGTGGTAGTTTGAGTCAGTTGCTTTCAGTCAGTCTTACCGTGTGGACGTGTGTGTTTGCGAACTTATGTCCAGTGAATGCATGACTGTGTTTTAGCAGTGTTATATTCTGTCTAGTGGACTGTGTTTTAGCAGTGTTATATTCTGTCTGGTGGACTGTGTTTTAGCAGTGTTATATTCTGTCTGGTGGACTGTGTTTTAGCAGTTCTATATTCTGTCTGTTGGACTGTGTTTTAGCAGTGTTATATTCTGTCTGGTGGACTGTGTTTTAGCAGTTTTATATTCTGTCTAGTGGACTGTGTTTTAGCAGTGTTATATTCTGTCTGGTGGACTGTGTTTTAGCAGTGTTATATTCTGTCTGTTGGACTGTGTTTTAGCAGTGCTATATTCTGTCTGGTGGACTGTGTTTTAGCAGTGTTATATTCTGTCTGGTGGACTGTGTTTTAGCAGTGTTATATTCTGTCTGGTGGACTGTGTTTTAGCAGTGTTATATTCTGTCTGTTGGACTGTGTTTTAGCAGTGTTATATTCTGTCTGTTGGACTGTGTTTTAGCAGTGTTATATTCTATCTGTTGGACTGTGTTTTAGCAGTGTTATATTCTGTCTGTTGGACTGTGTTTTAGCAGTGTTATATTCTGTCTGTTGGACTGTGTTTTAGCAGTGTTATATTCTGTCTGTTGGACTGTGTTTTAGCAGTGTTATATTCTATCTGTTGGACTGTGTTTTAGCAGTGTTATATTCTGTCTGGTGGACTGTGTTTTAGCAGTGTTATATTCTGTCTGGTGGACTGTGTTTTAGCAGTGTTATATTCTATCTGTTGGACTGTGTTTTAGCAGTGTTATATTCTGTCTGTTGGACTGTGTTTTGCTTCTAGCAGTGTTTTATATTTCTGTCTGTTGGACTGTGTTTTAGCAGTGTTATATTCTGTCTGTTGGACTGTGTTTTAGCAGTGTTATATTCTGTCTGTTGGACTGTGTTTTAGCAGTGTTATATTCTGTCTGATGGACTGTGTTTTAGCAGTGTTATATTCTGTCTGATGGACTGTGTTTTAGCAGTGTTATATTCTGTCTGATGGACTGTGTTTTAGCAGTGCTATATTCTGTCTGATGGACTGTGTTTTAGCAGTGTTATATTCTGTCTGGTGGACTGTGTTTTAGCAGTGTTATATTCTGTCTGGTGGACTGTGTTTTAGCAGTGCTATATTCTGTCTGGTGGACTGTGTTTTAGCAGTGTTATATTCTGTCTGGTGGACTGTGTTTTAGCAGTGTTATATTCTGTCTGGTGGACTGTGTTTTAGCAGTGTTATATTCTGTCTGGTGGACTGTGTTTTAGCAGTGTTATATTCTGTCTGTTGGACTGTGTTTTAGCAGTGTTATATTCTGTCTGTTGGACTGTGTTTTAGCAGTGTTATATTCTGTCTGTTGGACTGTGTTTTAGCAGTGTTATATTCTGTCTGTTGGACTGTGTTTTAGCAGTGTTATATTCTGTCTGGTGGACTGTGTTTTAGCAGTGTTATATTCTGTCTGTTGGACTGTGTTTTAGCAGTGTTATATTCTGTCTGGTGGACTGTGTTTTAGCAGTGTTATATTCTGTCTGTTGGACTGTGTTTTAGCAGTGTTATATTCTGTCTGTGGACTGGACTGTGTTTTTAGCAGTGGACTTGTTTTTATATTCTGTCTGTGTGGACTGTGTTTTTAGCAGTGTTATATTCTGTCTGGTGGACTGTGTTTTAGCAGTGCTATATATCTGTCTGGTGGACTGTGTTTTAGCAGTGTTTATATTCTGTCTGTTGGACTGTGTTTTAGCAGTGTTATATTCTGTCTGTTGGACTGTGTTTTAGCAGTGCTATATTCTGTCTGTTGGACTGTGTTTTTAGCAGTGTTTTATGTTATATCTGTCTGGGACTGTGTTTTAGCAGTGTTATATTCTGTCTGTTGGACTGTGTTTTAGCAGTGTTATATTCTGTCTGTTGGACTGTGTTTTAGCAGTGTTATATTCTATCTGTTGGACTGTGTTTTTTAGCAGTGCTATATTCTGTCTGTTGGACTGTGTTTTAGCAGTGCTATATTCTGTCTGTTGGACTGTGTTTTTAGCAGTGTTATATTCTGTCTGTTGGACTGTGTTTTAGCAGTGTTATATTCTGTCTGTTGGACTGTGTTTTAGCAGTGTTATATTCTGTCTGTTGGACTGTGTTTTAGCAGTGTTATATTCTGTCTGTTGGACTGTGTTTTAGCAGTGTTATATTCTGTCTGTTGGACTGTGTTTTAGCAGTGTTATATTCTATCTGTTGGACTGTGTTTTAGCAGTGTTATATTCTGTCTGTTGGACTGTGTTTTAGCAGTGTTATATTCTGTCTGGTGGACTGTGTTTTAGCAGTGTTATATTCTATCTGTTGGACTGTGTTTTAGCAGTGTTATATTCTATCTGTTGGACTGTGTTTTAGCAGTGCTATATTCTATCTGTTGGACTGTGTTTTAGCAGTGTTATATTCTATCTGTTGGACTGTGTTTTAGCAGTGCTATATTCTATCTGTTGGACTGTGTTTTAGCAGTGCTATATTCTATCTGTTGGACTGTGTTTTAGCAGTGTTATATTCTATCTGTTGGACTGTGTTTTAGCAGTGCTATATTCTATCTGTTGGACTGTGTTTTAGCAGTGTTATATTCTGTCTGATGGACTGTGTTTTAGCAGTGCTATATTCTGTCTGATGGACTGTGTTTTAGCAGTGTTATATTCTATCTGTTGGACTGTGTTTTAGCAGTGCTATATTCTATCTGTTGGACTGTGTTTTAGCAGTGTTATATTCTGTCTGTTGGACTGTGTTTTAGCAGTGCTATATTCTGTCTGTTGGACTGTGTTTTAGCAGTGCTATATTCTGTCTGGTGGACTGTGTTTTAGCAGTGTTATATTCTGTCTGTTGGACTGTGTTTTAGCAGTGTTATATTCTGTCTGGTGGACTGTGTTTTAGCAGTGTTATATTCTGTCTGTTGGACTGTGTTTTAGCAGTGTTATATTCTATCTGTTGGACTGTGTTTTAGCAGTGTTATATTCTGTCTGTTGGACTGTGTTTTAGCAGTGTTATATTCTATCTGTTGGACTGTGTTTTAGCAGTGTTATATTCTATCTGTTGGACTGTGTTTTAGCAGTGCTATATTCTATCTGTTGGACTGTGTTTTAGCAGTGTTATATTCTGTCTGTTGGACTGTGTTTTAGCAGTGTTATATTCTGTCTGTTGGACTGTGTTTTAGCAGTTTTATATTCTGTCTGTTGGACTGTGTTTTAGCAGTGTTATATTCTATCTGTTGGACTGTGTTTTAGCAGTGTTATATTCTGTCTGGTGGACTGTGTTTTAGCAGTGTTATATTCTGTCTAGTGGACTGTGTTTTAGCAGTGTTATATTCTGTCTGTTGGACTGTGTTTTAGCAGTGTTATATTCTGTCTGTTGGACTGTGTTTTAGCAGTGTTATATTCTGCCTGGTGGACTGTGTTTTAGCAGTGTTATATTCTGTCTGTTGGACTGTGTTTTAGCAGTGTTATATTCTGTCTGTTGGACTGTGTTTTAGCAGTGTTATATTCTGTCTGGTGGACTGTGTTTTTAGCAGTGTTATATTCTGTCTGTGGACTGTGTTTTAGCAGTGCTATATTCTGTCTGTTGGACTGTGTTTTAGCAGTGCTATATTCTGTCTGATGGACTGTGTTTTAGCAGTGCTATATTCTGTCTGTTGTTTTAGCAGTGTTATATTCTGTCTGATGGACTGTGTTTTAGCAGTGTTATATTCTGTCTGTTGGACTGTGTTTTAGCAGTGCTATATTCTGTCTGTTGGACTGTGTTTTAGCAGTGTTATATTCTGTCTGATGGACTGTGTTTTAGCAGTGTTATATTCTGTCTGGTGGACTGTGTTTTAGCAGTGTTATATTCTGTCTGGTGGACTGTGTTTTAGCAGTGCTATATTCTGTCTGGTGGACTGTGTTTTAGCAGTGCTATATTCTGTCTGTTGGACTGTGTTTTAGCAGTGCTATATTCTGTCTGTTGGACTGTGTTTTAGCAGTGCTATATTCTGTCTGATGGACTGTGTTTTAGCAGTGCTATATTCTGTCTGTTGGACTGTGTTTTAGCAGTGTTATATTCTGTCTGTTGGACTGTGTTTTAGCAGTGTTATATTCTGTCTGGTGGACTGTGTTTTAGCAGTGTTATATTCTGTCTGGTGGACTGTGTTTAGCAGTGTTATATTCTGTCTGGTGGACTGTGTTTTAGCAGTGTTATATTCTGTCTGTTGGACTGTGTTTTAGCAGTGTTATATTCTGTCTGGTGGACTGTGTTTTAGCAGTGTTATATTCTGTCTGGTGGACTGTGTTTTAGCAGTGTTATATTCTATCTGTTGGACTGTGTTTTAGCAGTGTTATATTCTGTCTGTTGGACTGTGTTTTAGCAGTGTTATATTCTGTCTAGTGGACTGTGTTTTAGCAGTGTTATATTTGACTGTCTGTTAGCAGTGTTATGTTGGACTGTGTGTTTAGCAGTGTTAATATTCTGTCTGTTGGACTGTGTTTTTTGCTAGCAGTGTTATATTCTGTCTGTTGGACTGTGTTTTAGCAGTGCTATATTCTATCTGTTGGACTGTGTTTTAGCAGTGTTATATTCTATCTGTTGGACTGTGTTTTAGCAGTGTTATATTCTGTCTGTTTTAGACTGTGTTTTAGCAGTGTTATATTCTATCTGTTGGACTGTGTTTTAGCAGTGTTATATTCTATCTGTTGGACTGTGTTTTAGCAGTTTTATATTCTATCTGTTGGACTGTGTTTTAGCAGTGTTATATTCTATCTGTTGGACTGTGTTTTAGCAGTGTTATATTCTATCTGTTGGACTGTGTTTTAGCAGTGTTATATTCTGTCTGTTGGACTGTGTTTTAGCAGTGTTATATTCTGTCTGTTGGACTGTGTTTTAGCAGTGTATATTCTATCTGTTGGTGTTTTAGCAGTGTTATATTCTGTCTTTGTTGTTTAGCAGTGTTATATTCTGTCTGTTGGACTGTGTTTTAGCAGTGTTATATTCTGTCTGTTGGACTGTGTTTTAGCAGTGTTATATTCTGTCTGGTGGACTGTGTTTTAGCAGTGCTCTGTCTGTGTTTTAGCATATTCTGTCTGGTTGGACTGTGTTTTAGCAGTGTTATATTCTGTCTGTTGACTGTGTTTTAGCAGTTGCTATATTCTGTCTTGACTGTGTTTTAGCAGTGTGATTCTGTTAGCACTGTGTTTTAGCAGTGTTATATTCTGTCTGGTGGACTGTGTTTTAGCAGTGTTATATTCTGTCTGGTGGACTGTGTTTTAGCAGTGTATATTCTGCCTTATCATGTCTATTCTGTTGTGGTGGACTGTGTTTTAGCAGTGCCATATTCCAGTTTATATTCTGTCTGTTGGACTGTGTTTTAGCAGTGCTATATTCTGTCTGGTGGACTGTGTTTTAGCAGTGCTATATTCTGTCTGTTGGACTGTGTTTTAGCAGTGCTATATTCTGTCTGTTGGACTGTGTTTTAGCATGCTTTATGAATCTGTTACAATCACTGTGTGTTAGCAGTGTGTGTGTTGTGTCTGGTGGTGTGTCGTGTTCTCTAGCCAGTGAAGCTGCAGTGACCGCCTCATCTGTGATTTTCTTAAGCTCGAGTTGTGTTGGTCATATGCTTAGGAGTCAACATGGTTGCACCAAACGCGGTAGATCGACTTTCCTCTAAGAAGCCCCAGGGTTCACTTCAGCTGCCTCAATTTAAACATGAACGTGTGCACTGGTGTAAACATGTATCAAATCCTCTGATTCAGTAAGCATGGCATCTTGAATAATTGCTGAATGTCCACCTCTGTGACACTTGCTGAAACAGTCTCTGCATTCCCGGCTCAGCGTGATGATGTCAAGGTATAATGCAAGTCTGACTGCTCAGGTGGCACTTTAACCCATCCTCTCCTTGCCTAATGTTCTCAAAGATGCAAACCTGTCTGATTGTGTTTTCTGCCTGAGCCATCCATGACCTCCCTCTTATCAGCCGCTGACCCTTAACTGCAGCCAGAGCTTCATGCAGAGGGTGGTCTGTGTCTGCAGCTACCCTGAGATATGAATTCGCCTGCAGCACCTTGTACCTACCTGCAACCGTCGGCAAACCAAGTATGTATCATATACACACCCCTGGGGTGTCTCTGGTGCAGCCCAGAATGACCCGCATAAACTCGTTCTGTATGCGCTCTAGTTTGTCCATCTGACTCTTTGAGACGGTAAGCAGTCCCAGGCCATAATCCACCACTGACAGGATCAGGTGCTAATAAAGTGTGAAAAGCATTCTCTTCTCTATGTCAATTGCAGCCATAGTCTTAAGTGCACTAAGTCCTTTTTGGCATCTCGTCACAACACTCTCCACATGGTCCTTAAATGACAGGCTCCTGTCAAATGTAATTCCCAGATACTTCAGTTTGCTCTCTCTGTTGACGTTTCTACCATCTATCGTGAGACTTGGGACATTAGTTTTAACGATTCTGTTGTCCAGAGAACACCACAAAACAGACGCCTTTTCTGGGGGGACGAAAGCCCTTATTTCTGTACACCACTCAGTCACTTTGTCTACTGTTGCTTGTAGCTTCCAAGCTGTTTGTTCCCTCTCTTCCCCCTGCTTATATGAAAGTATATCATCCTTCTCTTTAAATGACCAAAGAACACAACTGCCTTCATAAGCTCTTTCCAGGCAGATGTTGTGAATTACTCTAACTGTCCAGATGTTCATAACATTCATTTTAGTGACCACAACTCTGCTGACTCCAAACTTTCCCTATCTTGTTAATTCACATTCCAAGACTCTTTCTTCTCCTTCTTTTTTTCTTCCATACTCTACCTCGGTAAAGTGTTGGGAGCAGATGTAATGTTCGTTAATGAGCTCTGTCAAGAGCAATGCGGTAAAAATATGAGGGTGACTGCAGTCAAGCTAATAACAATGAATTCAAGTGAAATGTGACTAAAAAACTTCAGAAACAGGGAAGCAGAAAAACGTCCACAAAACAACGTTTTGGCCAGTGGCCTCTCTATGGTCAGAGGTCAGTTATATCACATTTTTTAAAACGTCCCCCTTTACAGATTTGAATACTCTCATTTTTGTTACTGTTGTATAGTTCATTACTTGTTCGAGAAAGGCAACTGGCTGAAGTGTTGTTTTGTGGGTGTTTTTTCTGCTTCCCCATTTCGTTAAGCTTTCTAGTCACATTTCACTGGAATTCTCTGTCAAGAGCACTATTAGGATTGATGTTTATTTCTGTAAGGCTGTTCTTAATGTCATCACTCCATCTTTTACAGTTTTCTTCTTATTCTATACTCGTTGTAAAATTTCCTGTGGCTCACTGTGGCAGATAGTACCAAGGCATTTTTGTTAGGTGTCCAAACCACTTTTTTTTTTCAAATGTCCTTCCTGTAAGACTAGCTTTATTCCTAGCAATCATCTGATTTTGTAATTTCTTATTATATCTTTCCTTGAAACTTCTTCTGCTCTTCTAAGGCATTTAATCTCTGTTGTCACAATTTTACGTTCATTGGAGGATGTAAGTGTCCACGTTTGGCATTGATAGCATAGTGTTGGCCAAAAAATAGTTCTGATAAGATTCACTTTAGTACTCCTGGGTATCTGCTTGTGTGTCAACAGGGGAGATAGTTGCCTCATTACTTGATTAGCTTTGGCACACCTGGAGCTAATTTCTCTGTCCAGTTTTCCATCAAATGTGAAAATTGCTCCTGAATACTTGAATTCCTCTGTTTGTCTTAAGGCGTTGTTTTTTTAAATGTTATTTCTAAATTGTCTTTCTGTCTTCCTATCACCATTGTGTCTGCCTTCGTAGTGTTTATTCTTATATTACATTCCTCCCCTTTGTTACTAATTTGATTTAGGTGGTTCTATAGGCATTCCGTACTTTCTGCTATAAGAACCTGGTCATCAGCAAATAGTATTTCTGTAATATTTTCTTCATGATTAAAGTTCAATTCCTTACATATAGTATCCATGTATGTGATGAAAAGAAATGGCAAAATACACAGCCTTGACGTACTCCTTGCGTACAGCAAAACAGCTTGAATATAACAACTTCACTATCACAGAAAAAAAGTACAACTATTGTAACATGATACATGTGCAGTGGTATTTCCATTTATGACAGTCAATCCGCTACTTATAAAAGTATAGAAAAACAACCTACTTTGAGTGAGACATCCGTATTTGACAGTCAGTCAACATATTCCCTTTTATGACAGCCAGTTACACAAATGTAGAACAACCTACATTGACTCAGACCTACCCTTAACTTTCTGTGCATGTAGTTATACACAGTAGCTCTTATCTCCACCTGCTCCAGCCTAGTTGCACTGTACGGCAAGTCCAAGTGAACGAAGAATGAACTAAAGGTGGGAATTTCCATAGGTGGCGCCACACACAGTCCAGTTTCCTGTGACATACCAAGTGTCTGAATTGACCAGGTGGTGATGGAGTCGGGCAGTACAAAGTCCACGTCAGCTTTACCTTCAGGTCTGGGAGATGTCAACGTTCAACAAAAACTTTTAATTTGTAATAATTTAATTTACTTGCAGTCAATGTAGTTGAAAAGGCAAGGGTAAATAATAATGTTTTCAAAATAATATGCATACTAGAGATATGGCATTAAATGCACACTTTCTTGATTAAACCAAACTAGATGGCTTATCTGGCATTATTTTACAGGTTGCCTGAATTACCAGAAAATGTAATTATACACAACAACTATTTAAAATCCTAAACCATAATTTAAAAATAACAATTAAAACAAAAATAGTCATCCTTTCTATCTCCTAGTTTCCACTCCCCAGAGTGCCAGCTATGTAACTACCTCTACGAAACTGTTGAACACCATCTCTTTGAGTGCCCAAAACTCAGTGAGACAAGAAGAACGCTACTCCCTCCGAGACCAGACAAGTGGAACACCTTGTACGGAGGAAAAGAACAGCTTGTGAAAACATGCAAATTCCACTACATGGCATTGGGCCAAAGGGCGAAAGCTCATGCGCCGCTGGATTGTTAACAACAACAACAACAACAATCTCTTAGTTTCAATTTTAAATAAATATAAAATAATACTATCTGGAAGTCAAAGTGATAAATATACAGACAGGACAGAGGCAGCAAAGAAAATAGGAACCAACTTATACTGACCCCAGATTGTATTCCTCAAACCACCAAGATTCTGGGAAGTTGCTTCTAACAGGAATGTTGGCCGTCTCCAGGATCTCCTCTTCAAAAGTTAATTCCAGCTCTTCTGCAACTCGGTCTTCAAATTTTTTAAACCCTGACACAAACAGAAAAAAAAAATGTATTTATCAACGGCATCAAATATAGAAATAAAAGTAAAATAAAAAACTTACCAAAATGTGTGCCACCATTTGTGTTTGCTAGGATAGTTTTGTTGAATGCTGAAGATGAAAGACTCCTTGTTTTGGCAATCACATATAGTAGAAGTCAAATCTATTTTTGTTTACCTGCCATAGATACACATCATTTTGATTTTCAAGACTGTTTTGTTCAGATATGATGGACTGGGAGTCTTTATTCTCAGTAACTGATATTTTTATCGAAATTTGAAAAAACAAACAAAAAAACTACAGTTTGTGCACAAAAGATAGATACACATAGGGAAGAAATAACTTACTTCCAGCAACATCCAGAGTTACTGTCCCCTTAGCGGTATCCCTACAACAGGCAAAGAATTCTTTGGCACATAGGTCAGAGATCAAGGTCTTCTTCAAAACACGAGACAGCTCATAGCACATAGCCAAAGTGGCATTGTAGACTTTTAGTCCTTCAAGGCAACACACCTCCTTGATCTGCTTCTCTGCGGATAGATGCCGGATGTCAGACATAATGACAATATATTTGTACATTGAACACATGATCTGCAATGAGTTTTACCAAAATTTCATGATAAACTCAGTCTTGCGCAACTGTGGCAACATGCTTGGTAACTTGAGAACGTGTTTTTTCCTCCACTTAATTATTGTCTGTGTATTTTAAGTAGATATCAAACACTCAGACTCTTGCTCAGAGGTAAGGTATCAAGAATCCAGATAAAACTGACCAGATAGACTTGGTAGCACCAGTGAACTGGAAAGTACAGGCCATCTTGTTGGGGGTGTCATAAAATTATCAGACAAGAACCTTAGGGGCAAGTAACTGGTGATAAAAGTAATCTCCCCCTGAGATTATCTTTCTTGAACTGCAGGCCAGGGCTATGATTTCAGAATGAGCTGTTAGCAGACAACCTCCAACCAGGTGTCAGAGCATTTGCCAGACTGAAGGGAAAAGGAAGGTGTGTGCACACACACACTCACTACATAAGTTTATATTCACGTGGGGTTGGTGACATCATCAATGGAGTTGTTTATTCCCAAAAACAGGTACTCTCTATAGGTGCCTTATTTATAATTTTTTTAGGATGCTGAACAAGGTATCTGGGATTTGTCTTCCAGGATGTGACTTTTTTAACTGCAGAAATGGTCAAACATGCTTGTAATAGCCTGACAGGAAAAGAATTGATAGTCAACAGACGTCTATAAATAGGCTGCATAATGACTGGATGCTGCAAGAATTTTTTACACAGATATCAAATACACATAAACAACACAAACATACACACATTACAAAAACTTCACACACATCACAAATACACCACACATATTACAAACAGTCCACACACATTACAAACACACCACACACATTACAATCCCACATCACACATCACAAACACTTACATACATTAAAAAACCCTCCAAGCACATCATATAAACGTTTTACACATCACAGGTACTATTTGGAAGAGGAATGGGGGGATTGGGGGGGGGGGGGGGGGGGCGGGGTAAGCCCAGCAGCAAACAGATTTAAAAAAAAAAAAACATCAACTGACCAGACTCCAGGGATCTTTTCTTTCTGACAGCCTTGTCCAAACATCCCTCCACAAGTTTGGTTTCCATCTCCAAACCTGCGTTTGTCAACACAGTCAGACCAGCATTCTAGGAAGCCATTTGTAATCAGAAATTTCATTTTCCTATGTCACACCATCTGTTATGTCACTCATAATTCTAAATGTAACATAAGAAGTTACCCAATATCATACCACTTGTTACGCACCCTGTCCATTATATGCAATGTAACATACAACTTGCCATATATCACTCGTTCTAAAAATCTCAATACTGCATTTAATGTGAGTGCTAACCTACCTACCCCATGTCCCTTGTTACTTGAACCTTGCTGCTAAATGTAATATAAGTTGTTGCTTTTCTAATATTACATCAGTTTTGTAATACTTTTTTTAAAACTTAAATCTTACTATAACAGTGTAATATATGATGTAACCTACCCCATGTCCCTTGTTACTTAAATCTTGCTGCTAAATGTAATATAAGTTGTTGCTTTTCTAATATTACATCAGTTTTGTAATAATATTAAAAAAAAAAAATTAAATCTTACTATAACAATGTTATATGATGTAACCTACCCCATGTCCCTCGTTATTTAAATCTTGCTGCTAAATGTAATATAAGTTGTTGCTTTTCTAATATTACATCAGTTTTGTAATAATTTTTTTTTTCAAAACTAAAATCTGACTATAACAATGTAATATATGATGTAACCTACCCCTATGCCATATCACTCTGTAGTAGTGTTAAAAAATATGCTTGGGCTAGTCTCACAAAAAATATGAAACAAACCTGAAATATTTTCCCAGTGTCCCGACCACTTCCACACCCACAGCCTCGATCATGGTCTCTGATCTGCTGAAATACCTGGCAACACAAAGCCAGCATGTTATTTAGAAAGCTGCCAGTTTGGTGAAGGTAATAGTAAAAGCAAATTAAATGACCCCTTTCCACCCTTCTAGCAGACTAGACATGAAGGGCTAGACTTATGTTTTATAGACCAATCGGCACTTGCTGTGTCATCATCATCATCATCATCATCATCATCATAAACCACTTCTGCCGTTAAGCGGCGTGGGGAGGAATAAATTGCAATCTAGTGCACGTTGGCTGCCACTGGCTATTGTCATGCCGTGAAGGGGTAAAGTGTCTTTAATGTTGTCGATCTATGTTTTCAGCAGCCGTCCTCTTGCTCTTGTAGCTGATCTTCTGAGATGCAGTGCTTGTGATGGTATTTGATCTTGCTGCATTCTAACGAGATGGCCAAACCACTTGAACTTGTTTCTCGATGAATCTACTACAAGGTGTCGTTCCCACAATTTGCCTGATAGTTTCATTATTCACTCGATCTTGGATGGTTAGGTTGGCTGCTTTTCTCAGGCACCTCATTTCGCAGGTGGTGATTTTGCTTATATGGGCTTTAGATTGTGTCCATGTCTGACACTGGTAGCTAAATGTTGGAATTAATATGCTATTAATAATCTGTCTCTCTGCACTCATAGTTATGCTTAGATGTCTTAATAATGGTGACAACTGGTATATAAGTGTACTTGCTTTCTGACATCTGGTTTCCATTTCTCTGTCAATTCTACCAAATTCTGTAATCTTACTTCCTAGATATTTAAACTTTCTAACTTGATTCAGAGCAGAACCATTCAGCTGTATGTGTAGTGGGCTAGGGTTTCTACTAACTTGCATTGTTTCGGTTTTGTTTGCATTTATCTTCATGTTGTATTTACTGCATGCTGAGTCAAGGGTCATGAGGTCAACAAAATAGTTCACTTGCCAGGACTGTACTTGGTACCCACACAAAGCTAGGTCGACCTGCGAGCCAAGGCATTTTTGAAAAAAAAAATGTTAATCTTCGTTGGGACCAGAATGTATGACCTCCCTATCCGCAGGCAAGCATCTAGCCACTACACCATTGTGGCTTCAGTTGTATGTAATAATATTTACACATTTCTAGATCTTAAAAGACTCTGAAACAGGAGACCACAGATTACAAAATCAACAACATAGCATTCATGACAGGCCTGTAGATGTTTTATTTGCGACAGTGAGCAGCCACACATGCAGTAATTGTATAAGACTTCATGAAGATGATTCAGAAAATTACAACAGGTAATTTATGCTCTGAATTGGCAGTAGGTATTCTCCCTCGCCTGGATCTACACACCTGGTCATGTTGGCATAAAAGGTAATCAGCAAGCGGACCAACTGGCAAGCAGTGTAACAAGACATGTGGGAAGAAACCTGGACAGAGCAAATGTCACCTCTGTATGGATTAGGCTAGTGGATAATGATGAATTTCTGACACTAACCCTATTGTGGGACCTGGGAGTAATGCTTGGTAAAGTACATCTATGCTGCTTTTGAGAATAGACACCCCCCTCCCCCCTCTCCCAGACTCCCAAACAAGCATGTCATAAAAGGTAACAAATTAGGGGTATTTTCTTCAGATTGCATCTGCCTGAGAGGCAAGGAAAAAACAGTCTGCACACAAATAAGTCAGAAAAACTCAAGTTCTGGAAAATGACTTAAATTCAAGAAGCTGAACAACCAGAACTATCTGCCAGAGTTTACAGACAGTGAATACTAAGAGGGAAAAAGAGAATACTTTCAACTGCATCATCTCCACCACAATACACATCATATTCATAATCATCTTTTATGCCAGTAGCAGTCTCACCATACTCATCATAAGTTTTCTCATAACATCATCATCATCAACTTGATTATGATAATCATTTCCACAATGTTCTCACTTCAGCTTTGCTGAGTCATTCTCCTTTCAAAAATTTCCAGCTGTGACCTTTTGGTAGATTTGCTCTTAATATCATCAGATACGTCTTCAGCCTAGCTTTTGTCCATGCCACTTTCATTCAGGGCAACGACTAGCTGACAGGATCGGGCAATATCTTTCTCATGTGCAGAATGGTGCACTCAAACCAGTATGGTTGCATTTCAATTCTCAGCATCACAAGGTGTCCTCAAAATGTTCTTTACAGTGACAGAGTCCATAAGTCTCTTGCGAACTGCCTTTTCACCCAGAGGACTTAATATCCAACACAGTTGTATCTGATATCTTTGAGTTGTGTCCCTTTCACTCATAGCTTTTTATGGCCATTAGTTATCTCCAGTGGCCATACACTGTCAGATATTCTACTGGCCAGACAAAGATGTGATTTCTAGCATAAATATGCCAGTTAAACGAATTTGTGTATTCTCGTTCAGATCTGTGGTACTTTAGCTTTGTGTAATGTACTGATGAAGTCTTTCTGGCCACAGCAATCATTTGTCATTTGTGTTTGTGATATGGTTTTGATATCTTTTCATGATGCTTTCATTCAGTGAATCCCACAGCACACACTGTACATGTCCTATCACCATTTGACATTTGTGTACAGAAAATGCCCTCTGGAAGTCAGGTGTCTGCCATTCAGCAGAGTTCAGTTAGGGACCAGTATCAGAGAACTTGGGATATTTCCAAATCGCTGTGTATAGATGACAGACTTACTGACTGTCTTGTTAATGTGCTGTTCTTCAAATGATAAACAGCGCTGTCAACAGCAATGACTCCAATGACAGTGTTGGGTGGTCCTGAGAATGTCACGGTGCCGATGTCACCTGGTCGGAACACGGTCCTCCTGTCATCTTCATGGTGTACTGAAACCTGTCAAGATAAATGTCTATCATCAGCATTGGACAATCTACAGACATACAGGGGAGAGAAATCTGAGTAACATTTATGGTGTAGTAGATTGTGCTCACACTTACCTACACAGTGGTGCTGGTTTGTCTTGGACTTCATTGGGTAATTCATAAGTCATAATCTGACACATCAAGAAAGCAGTTGGGAAATAAGCAGCAGGAAAGTGAAGAAAACATTAGAAAACATCAAGAAAGCAGTTTAGAAATAAGCAGCAGGAAAGTGAAGAAAACATTAGAAAACATCAAGAAAGCAGTTGGGAAATAAGCAGCAGGAAAGTGAAGAAAACATTAGAAAACATCAAGAAAGCAGTTGGGAAATAAGCAGCAGGAAAGTGAAGAAAACATTAGAGAACATCAAGAAAGCAGTTGGGAAATAAGCAGCAGGAAAGTGAAGAAAACATTAGAGAACATCAAGAAAGCAGTTGGGAAATAAGCAGCAGGAAAGTGAAGAAAACATTAGAAAACATCAAGAAAGCAGTTGGGAAATAAGCAGCAGGAAAGTGAAGAAAACATTAGAAAACATCAAGAAAGCAGTTGGGAAATAAGCAGCAGGAAAGTGAAGAAAACATTAAAAAACACCAAGAAAGCAGTTGGGAAATAAGCAGCAGGAAAGTGAAGAAAACATTAGAAAACATCAAGAAAGCAGTTGGGAAATAAGCAGCAGGAAAGTGAAGAAAAACATTAGAAAACATCAAGAAAGCAGTTGGGAAATAAGCAGCAGGAAAGTGAAGAAAACATTAGAAAACATCAAGAAAGCAGTTGGGAAATAAGCAGCAGAAAGTGAAGAAAACATTAGAAAACATCAAGAAAGCAGTTGGGAGCAGAAAAGTGAAAGAAAACATCATCAAGAAAGCAGTTGGGAATAAGCAGCAGGAAAGTGAAGAAAACATTAGAAAACATCAAGAAAGCAAATAAGCAGCAGCATTAGAAAACATCAAGTTGGGAAATAAGCAGCAGGAAGTGAAAAAACATTAGAGAACATCAAGAAAGCAGTTGGGAAATAAGCAGCAGAAAGAAAGTGAAGAAAGCATTAGAGAACATCAAAAATCAAGAAAGCAGTTGGAAAATAAGCAGCAGGAAGTGAAGAAAAACAGAAAGCAGTTGGGAAATAAGCAGCAGGAAAGTGAAGAAAGAAAACATCAAGAAAGCAAAATAAGCATTAGAAAGTGAAGAAATCATCAGAAAGCAGTTGGTGAAAACATTAGAAAACATCAAGAAAGCAGTTGGGAAATAAGCAGCAGGAAAGTGAAGAAAACATAAGCAGCAGGAAAGCAGCAGGAAAGTGAAGAAAGCATTAGAGAACATCAAGAAAGCAGTTGGGAAATAAGCAGCAGGAAAGGAAGAAAACATTAGAAAACAGCAGGAAATAAGCAGCAGGAAAGAAGAAAGGACATTAGAGAACATCAAGAAAGCAGTTGGGAAATAAGCAGCAGGAAAGTGAAGAAAACATTAGAAAACATCAAGAAAGCAGTTGGAAATAAGCAGCAGGAAAGTGAAGAAAACATTAGAAAACATCAGAAAGCAGTTGGGAAATAAGCAGCAGGAAAGTGAAGAAAAGCATTAGAGAACATCAAGAAAGCAGTTGGGAAATAAGCAGCAGGAAAGTGAAGAAATTAGAAAACATGAAGAAAATGCATTAGAAATAAGCAGCAGGAAAGTGAAGAACATCAAGAAATAAGTTGGGAAATCAAGCAGCAGCAGTGAAGAAAACATTAGAAAGTCAAGAAAGAAAGGAAAGTGAAGAAAACATTAGAAAACATCAAGAAAGCAGTTGGGAAATAAGAGCAGGAAAGTGAAGAAAACATTAGAGAACATCAGAAAGCAGTTGGCAGGAAAGTTCAAGAAAGAAATAAGCAGCAGGAAAGTGAAGAAAGCATTAGAGAACATCAAGAAAGCAGTTGGGAAATAAGCAGCAGGAAATTAGAAAACATCAAGAAAGCAGTTGGGAAATAAGCAGCAGGAAAGTGAAGAAAACATTAGAGAACATCAAGAAAGCAGTTGGGAGCAGCAAAAGTGAAGAAAACATTAGAGAACATCAAGAAAGCAGTTGGGAAAAAAGCAGCAGAGAACAGTTGGGAAATAAGCAGCAGGAAGAAAAAACATTAGAGAACATCAAGAAAACATTAGAGAACATCAAGAAAACATTAGAGAACATCAAGAAAGCAGTTGGGAAATAAGCAGCAGGAAAGTGAAGAAAGCATTAGAGAACATCAAGAAAGCAGTTGGGAAATAAGTGAAGAAAGCATTAGAGAACATCAAGAAAGCAGTTGGGAAATAAGCAGCAGGAAAGTGAAGAAAGCATTAGAGAACATCAAGAAAGCAGTTGGGAAATAAGCAGCAGGAAAGTGAAGAAAGCATTAGAGAACATCAAGAAAGCAGTTGGGAAATAAGCAGCAGGAAAGTAAGAAAAAGCATTAGAAAACATCAAGAAAGCAGTTGGGAAATAAGCAGCAGGAAAGTGAAGAAAACATTAGAAAACATCAAGAAAGCAGTTGGGAAATAAAGCAGGAAAGTGAAGAAAACATTAGAAAACATCAAGAAAGCAGTTGGGAAATAAGCAGCAGGAAAGTGAAGAAAACATTAGAAAACATCAAGAAAGCATTTGGGAAATAAGCAGCAGGAAAGTGAAGAAAACATTAGAAAACATCAAGAAAGCAGTTGGGAAATAAGCAGCAGGAAAGTGAAGAAAACATTAGAAAACATCAAGAAAGCAGTTGGGAAATAAGCAGCAGGAAAGTGAAGAAAACATTAGAAAACATCAAGAAAGCAGTTGGGAAATAAGCAGCAGGAAAGTGAAGAAAACATTAGAAAACATCAAGAAAGCAGTTGGGAAATAAGCAGCAGGAAAGTGAAGAAAACATTAGAAAACATCAAGAAAGCAGTTGGGAAATAAGCAGCAGGAAAGTGAAGAAAACATTAGAGAACATCAAGAAAGCACTGGGAAAATAAAAAAAAATAAAAAAAGCACTAGAAAACATCAAGAAAGCAGTTGGGAAATAAGCAGCAGGAAAGTGAAGAAAGCATTAGAGAACATCAAGAAAGCACTGGGAAAATAAAAAAAAATAAAAAAAGCACTAGAAAACATCAAGAAAGCAGTTGGGAAATAAGCAGCAGGAAAGTGAAGAAAGCATTAGAGAACATCAAGAAAGCACTGGGAAAAAAAAAAAAAAAAAAAAAAAAGCACTATGAAGCATCAAGAAAGAGTAGGAAACATCAAGAAAGCATTAAGAAAATAAAAAATGCACTAAGAAGCACCAAGAAAGAGTAGGAAACATCAAGAAAGCAGTAGTAAACATCATTTATAAATGATGAATATTTGAGGATATAACCAAGTGTAGTGATGCTAAAAATAGCTATAATGTAAAGGGATTTGACTGGTAGCAGAATTTGAAAAGTCCCTAGATTGAGTGACAGGAAGTCGATGTGAGAATGGCAAAACATGAAATTGTGTGAGCTCGCCTGGGAACACTAGGTCTGGGAAATAGCTGACTAGGAAGTCATTCTGTGACAGGACCCCAGAGAGATCGGAGTGAAAGTGGATCCAGAGTGAAACAAAGTGAACACTGATCCTGAATGACAATGAGTAAAGCTGTGAGGTGGTTGTAGCAAAGCCATGTTGAAGTATAGATGGGACAATGGAAGTGTCCTACTGACTGTTGATTGTTCCAACCATGTGTGTGTCAGAGTCGACCATGGAGTGGCTGTATACTCAAAGTGTGAGCAAGTGAACCCTGCCTGGATGACCTAAGTGTTAGGCTGTAACGTTGATTCTTGTCGCTAGATGGTTTTGTGAATAAACATGTAACGTAGTCAACCTTCATCGACTGTCATTTGGAGAAGTGTGGTAGTTTGTCAGAAGAAACGTCTGACTCCTCTGATCTGTGAGTCTGACTCCCTGGACAACAGCCCATGTCGATTGCGTACGAGCGAGAACTAGTACACAAGAGAGACACAGTACACCAGGTTACACTTCATCCTTAACCGCATAGGACTGCAGGTCACCAGCTGGCTGATGTAGCCAAAAGCTGCCCTAATTATAACTTCTGTGGAGGTTGAATTGGGTATTTGCCTTGTTGGTCTACAGTTCAGGGTGATATATTTCAAAGCCTCAGGATGGTCTGGTAAACCTTTAGGTACCATCCCAGAGGGAACTAACTAATCGACAGGTCGCAGTTCAACAGAGCACATACAGACTGATGGTATATATCTCGTATGTATGTTATTGTCAACAGTTCAGCTTTATTTTTCCCTAGTAGTACCTACTAGTATACAGCACCCAAATCTCTTTATTGCCACACTGTTTCTCTTTCTCTCATCATGTGCTGTGCCAGTAAGTACAGACTGTCATGTCTCAACATCTCATATGATCACCTGAATCATAGATCAGTTCAACTTTTTCGTCTCTCCCAATCCGTCTGGCCAAGCCATCCAGGAATTTATCTTTTTGCCTTCCCCTTTCTCTCTTTCCATCAATCTTGCCAGCTATTACCAGGTTCTCGAGTTCATTCTTGATGTCAAAACAATGTTGACACTCTACGTCTGATTGTTGTCATCAATTGACATCTTTCATCTGTCTTGATGAGAACTGCTTTGTTTGTTTTTTCCTAACTGTTGAAGATATTCTTTGCTTTCTTCTCACAACCATATCTCTGCCATGAATAAATACAATTTGTTTCCGTCTACTCTAACAGACACTTTGCTGCAAGTACCGCCTCCATTTTTTATACACTTTTTTTTTGTTTTCTTAGGTGAGTACCTGTACTTTTTCTCTTTAGAAAACAAAAATCCTGGTCTAAAGACTCCAAAAAAAAAAGTTTCAGAGGATAGGTAGGTAGGTGAAGATCAAATATACAGACAACGTGAAGAAACAAAGGAGGCAAATAAACCGTACCTCACCATCACACTGAGGCAGCACATCTATCCAGACTGAATCAGACACGACCTCTGACCCCTGCTGATTGCCCAGCACTGAGAAGGCAAGTATGCGAGCTCCGGGTGTCATCTCTTGGGTCAGCTTGAAGTGGAACGTTGTTAGGTTTCCCTGGATGTTCCGAGTACTGACTTGCCAGACAATCTGACCCCGAGCTATTACCTGGACATGTAGATTATTGCATGTGAAATTGTGTATGTATTTAAATATGTGTACATGAGTGTCTTTGTTGTACACTATAAATATAAACATGTACATATGAGTGTACGTATATACATTTCATAGTTAAAATCCCCATTCATTCACATTTTTTTCCAAAAATGACCTTGCTCTCAGGTCAGCCCAGCCTAAAAGGAGTAGCAGATAAAGTCCTGGTAGGTAAAAGTGACTGGTATGATGCTGACCATGTCATCCACAGATTGGTCTATAAAACTAGAGGTCTAGCTCAATATAAACACTAGGCCTAAGGGCGTGGAGATAGGTCCTTTATGAATAATAGGCCTGGCACCTCAAGAAGACCAAATCTAGTGACTTGTGATTGTGACACAGCAACATAAATGCTGATATATAGGTCTGTCTTCAGTGACCTGTTCTTGAAAAGCATAGCTCACTTCTACTGACTCTTTGTGCACCTGTGTTTATTAGGCTAGGATATTACAAAATATAGTAACCAAACAAAGCATTGTGGGGAGAGAGAGAGAGAGAGAGGGGGGGGGGGGGGGATTCCTTATGATCTAAATGGCTTTTTTAAAGCCAACTTGATGCCAATTTTTCCCATAAACCTTAGTGAAAGAGGCGATGGCGGGGTCATCATATGAGCCACAACCTCAAACACAGGACACCTGGGCCTGGAAGCAAGCAGTTAACCATGATTCTCAGTTTATACAATACTACAGTACCTTGAAAAAGAAAAAAAAAAAACTTCTGAGCATCGAGGAGAATTGGCTCATAAACAGCATCTTGTGCTGAAAGCTGAGTTACTTTGGCCAGGTTAAAGGTCATGGTGGCCTGGAGAGACAGATCATGAAGGATGCAGTTTCCAGAAACCAAGGCAGAACCAGACCTCAGTGAAGGTGGATACAAGATATTGAAATGCATTAGCCATGAAAGCACATAGGGCTGGAGAACTGGCTACAGAAACATAGACTTTAAAGCATTCTGTGATGAGAATAATATTCTGTAAAAGACCCGCTGACGTACAATAATGATGATAGTAGTCTGATTATATCATTATTTACATGCAAGACAAACTTTTTGTGGACATCTAAAAAAATAAAGTTTGCTCGTGTGTTCATTCATCTGTATTCAATAACTCAACGTGAAACGTCGTCTGTATGCAAGACAAACACCTGGTGGACATCTACACAACACTGATATAAGATATCATTCTTACCACCAGGTTGACTGTGTGAATGTCATCTGCATTTGTGTATCTTGTAGTTACAGTCAATTGGTCCCCAACTTTTGGCATCTCCCCTCGACTCTCCTGAAAGGAAGATCAGTGTAGAATGACAGATGTTATCTACCCCTGTCTGTTAAACCAGAGCTGTACATCTGTATCTACCTCTTCTTTTTAATGCTTCTGTTTATATCAGGAGGCCAGAATCCTTGCCGCAGGCGGACGCAGCAGTCCACACCTCACGGAGCCTTAAATAGCTTTGTCTTGACACAGATGGGAACTTGATACCTGATACATCTGGAGGATGGTAGAGCCCTAAGAAATCCTTTGTGGTGAATTACAGATGGATAGAAATGGCGAGGTAGGCCTCTACTAGGATATCAAGTTGTGTGCAAGAAGGGCATGAATGAGAAAGGTACTGAGGTAGCTTCATGGCAACAAGATGACATGAAAACTGTTGGAAAATCAGCAAGAGAATAGGAATAAAAGAGAAAATGATTGCAGAAATGTTAAAAGCTGAGCATATGAGAAGAAACACATGCAAAGGCAGTACGCATATTGAAATTCTGTGCTATAATTGTGAAAGACTTTTCTCAACACCAACAGGTCTTGCCATGGGTCGTGATTGGGGAGTTGGGCTGGGGATGAAGAAGGGGCACGAGGAAACAGATTAACTGTCCGCTACAAGCATATCTTGAAAGGCCAATCATGAAGGATGTACTGAAATGGGATAGTTGGGTGCCAACCATCTTGCATTGGTAGTTGTTCTCACTGCATTCTTACTAGATGACCAAATCATCTGATCTTCTGTTTCTCAATGAATTTGCTGGATGTTGTTGTTTGTACAGTCTGTCTAAAAATATCATTTCTAAGTTTGTCTTCAATGTAAGTTGGCGGCTTTTCTCATGCATCTCATTTCACAGGCGTTAATTTGATATAAGATAGCCTTTGAAAATGTCCAAGTCTGGCACTGGTAGCACACTGTTAGTATGAATACGCTGTTTAAAATCTGTTTCTTGGCGCTCATACTTATGTTTGGATGTCTTAATAACGGTGTCAGTTGGTATATAAGTGCAGCGGCTCGTTGGCATCTTATTTCTGTTTTTTGATCTATTCTACCGTCCACCGAGAATTTACTTCCTAGATATTTAAACTCTATAACTTGCTTTGGACAAGTACCGTTCCACCCGATATGTAGCGGACTAGGAACTCTGCTGACCTGCGCTACTCCAGTTTAAGTAGTATTTATTTTCATGTCATATCTTCTGCATGTCGAACTTAGCCTGTTCAAAGGTCTACTGCACTCAAATAGGTTAGCTCAAAGTAAACTTACCACATCTGTCAGAGCTGCATGAATGTGAAGATAAACTGATGACGGTGAGAAGAAAGGGCCCACGCTGATGAAGTAATCAGAGCTGCTGGTCTCCTCCTTCGCAGCAAATGTTGGGGTGACCTAAATAAGGAAATGTAAACATCAACAGCTCACATGTCGCATCCGATTCAATAACAACTCTGAGATAACAACAACAAATAACATAGCAACAGTTGCAAGTTTGTTGTTCATCAGGCTGGTTGGTGCCAGAGAGGGAACCTTACTGTTTGTTTTATGTCTACCATGCTTTTATGGCATTTCCAGAATGGCAATGATACTGTAGTATGCACCATCCCATTGTAGTGTACTCAGGAAAGCAACCATACTGTAGCATACACCACCCCATTGTAGTGAACTCAGAAAGGGAACCATACTGTAGCATGCACCACCCCATTGTAGTGTACCCAGAAAGGAAAGTACACTGTAGTATGTACAACCCTATTGTACTGTACCCAAAAAGGGAACCGTAATGTAGTATGCACCACCCAGTTGTGGTGACAGATATGACAATGTGACAGATATGACAATGTGACAGATATGGCAATGTGACAGATATGGCAATGTGAAAGACATGGCAATGTGACAGATATGGCAATGTGACAGAGATGGCAATGTGACAGATGTGACGGATATGACAGATATGGCAATGTGACAGATATGGCAATGTGACAGATGTGACAGAGATAGTAATGTGACAGAGATGACAATATGACTGATATGGCACTGTGACAGAGATGTCAATGTGACATAGATGGCAATGTGACAGATATGGCAATGTGACAGAGATGGCAATGTGACAGATATGGCAATGTGACAGATGTGACAATGTGACAGATATAGCAATGTGACAGATATGGCAATGTGTCAGATATGACAATGTGACAGAGATGGCAATGTGACAGATATGGCAATGTGACAGATATGACAATGTGACAGATGTGATATAGAAGGTAATGTGACAGAGATGACAATGTGACAGATATGGCAATGTGACAGATATGTCAATGTGACAGATATGGCAATGTGAAAGACATGGCAATGTGACAGATTTGGCAATGTGACAGAGATGGCAATGTGACAGATGTGACAGATATGACAGATATGGCAATGTGACAGATATGGCAATGTGACAGATATGGCAATGTGACAGAGATGGCAATGTGACAGATATGGCAATGTGACAGATGTGACAGAGATGGTAATGTGACAGAGATGACAATGTGACAGAGATGGCAATGTGACAGATATGACAATGTGACATATATGGCAATGTGACAGACATGGCAATGTAACAGATATGGCAATATGGCAATGTGACAGAGATGGCAAAATGACAAATATGAAAGTGTGACAGATATGACAATATGACAATGTGACAGATATGGCGATATGGCAATGTGACAGATATGACAATGTGACAGATATGATAATGTGACAGATATGGCAATGTGACAGATATGACAATGTGAAAGATATGACAATGTGACAGTTAAGACAATGTGACAGATATGACAATGTGACAGGTATGACAATGGACAGATGTGACAGATATGACAATGTGACAGATGTGACAGATACAACAATGTGACAGATGTGACAATGTGACAGATGTGACAGATATGACAATGGGACAGATAAGACAATGTGACAGATATGGCAATGTGACAGATATGGCAATGTGGCAGATATGGCAGTGTGGCAGATATGACAATGTGACAATATGACAGAGATGGCAATATGACAGATATGACAGATGTGGCATATGACAGAGATGACAATATGACAGAGATGACTGAGATGACAATATGACAGAGATGACAATATGACAGAGATGACAATATGACAGAGATGACAAAATGACAGAGATGACAATATGAACAAAATGACAGAGATGACAATATGACAAATATGATAGAGATGACAATATGACAAATATGACAGATATGACAAAATGACAGAGATGACAATATGACAGATATGACAATGCAGCTAGAAAGCTAGATGAATGTGCAGATGGATAGATAAATGAGCAAACAAAATGTACCTTAAACAGAAGTGATTTGGCACTGCCAGGGATGTGATAATGAACAGCCAGCTTGCCCCTGGCGTCAGTTCTCAGGCCAAGCTCAGAGGTCCAGTAAGTAGCAGGTAGTACTGTTCGCGTGTCCGCCTTACACTCCACGTTCAGAGGCAGGTGTGAACCATATTCTCCATTTGCTTTAAACACGTCTATCTGAAAACAGCACGTGCCTATTCATCTTTGTTTTCCCTCCAGACATTCTACACACGATACTTTCAGTACAGTGAGTCACTGTAGTGTATTGGCTAGTTGCTCGCCTGCGAGTATGACATTCTTGGGTTCGAATCCTGACCACTGTACATGGACGGATGTGCTACGGGAAGCTTTCCACACACAGTTGTCTTTCTTCTTTCTCTTTTGTCCAGTTTGTCCCCTCATAAGGCCAGCTTATTGATTACCCCTCTTCCATGAACATAACCCACACATTACAAATTCCTGTCATTATGATGTTAATATGCTTTCATTTAAAATCTGTAGCTGTGTGGGAGAGAATCAGTGATTTCATTTAACGTCTGTAGCTGTGTGGGAGAGAATCGGTGATATCATTTAACGTCTGTAGCTGTGTGGGAGAGAATCAGTGATTTCATTTAACGTCTGTAGCTGTGTGGGAGAGAATCGGCGATATCATTTAACGTCTGTGGCTGTGTGGGAGAGAATCAGTGATTTAATTTAAAATCTGTAGCTGTGTGGGAGAGAATCAGTGATTTCATTTAACGTCTGTAGCTGTGTGGGAGAGAATCGGTGATATCATTTAACGTCTGTGGCTTTGTGGGAGAGAATCGGTGATATCATTTAACGTCTGTAGCTGTGTGGGAGAGAATCGGTGATATCATTTAACGTCTGTAGCTGTGTGGGAGAGAATCAGTGATTTCATTTAACGTCTGTAGCTGTGTGGGAGAGAATCGGTGATTTCATTTAACGTCTGTAGCTGTGTGGGAGAGAATCAGTGATTTCATTTAACGTCTGTAGCTGTGTGGGAGAGAATCGGTGATATAATTTAACGTCTGTAGCTGTGTGGGAGAGAATCAGTGATTTCATTTAACGTCTGTAGCTGTGTGGGAGAGAATCAGTGATTTCATTTAACATCTGTAGCTGTGTGGGAGAGAATCGGTGATATCATTTAACGTCTGTAGCTGTGTGGGAGAGAATCAGTGATTTCATTTAACGTCTGTGGCTGTGTGGGAGAGAATCGGTGGAATGAACCGAAACGTAGATTTGAAATGTACCTTGGTTTACACCAACTTTAACGTCTAGGGTTGACACACTAACGCCACTCAGCTTCAAAGTACATTCTGTCAGTTTATTCTGGTCCATTTATCTCACATTTATTTCACTCGCGACATATGCGAACACTAATCATTCACAACATAAAAACTACATCCTCAAATACTACAACCTTCTTCCCTGACTTCTGATGATCGACTGACCACGAGGCTAGCTCGGGCTTCGCCTCGCTTACTCCACCGGCCACAAGTATCTCGTGCCGTCACTTGTAGCACGGACTTCCTGCTTGCCACAATGTACTCGTGAAGACCATGCAAAGCAGGGTCATCACACTCTCCCCCCTTTTTAACAAAATGACACTTTATGGAACATCAAGTGTCATTTTCATTTAACCAGATATAGTAAATCAATTTAATTGTATTCCCACTAGGGATTATGGTTCCTGATTATCCTCAATTACTGCCCTTTAAAACTACCTCAATATTTACTGCATACTTTTCCTAGTACTGAGCTGGTGAAGAGTTTAAACCATCTTTGCACCTATTGCATCTGTAGTGTTGTCTAGTCACTATAATTAATCTATTTAGGTTTAAAGTGAAATGAGGATAGTGATGATGATGATGTCAGCTTTGAGATATTTACTACATAGAAAATTGGATTTTAACCAATATTTCTTTACATCACCTTTCACAGGGTGTTAAACCCCAAGGACTCTTAGCCGATATGATAGTGGAAGATATATATTTTTCATAGTGCTTCTAGTTTCCTAAAAGCCCTATAACACCTTTTACAGGGTAATTACCCAACCCCAAGGAATCTACCACAGAAAAAAAAATGCATGTTGAGATATTTTTCATAGACCAAAGTCTCACCTTTCACAGAGTAATTACCCAACTCCAAGGAATCCAACATGTAAACAATGATAGCTGAGATATATTTTTCATAGATCTTAGAGTTTCCTCCAAGTCTATAACACCTTTAACAGAGTATTCAACTCCAAGGAATCTCAGATGAAATGATGACTATTGGGATGGTTTTTTAATAGAGTTTAGGGTTTCCCCATCAGTCTCTACATCACCTTTAACAGAGTATTCAACTCCAAGGAATCCCACACACCTTTCCCCCTTTAAATGGATACAGATGAGTTCAACTCCTCTACTGTGCTTGTGCTTTGATGTGTGCACTCTTTCTTTACCATCAGTCTGTCTAAGCATCAGTATAATTATAGCAGTTTATAATCTTGGGTGTCGTGGACAATTTACCCTGTCCCTGTGCTAAACATTTTAAATTAAATATTTTTTATCAAAGTCATTCTGTGGACAAAAAATTTTCCCTATATTATCTATTGCTACATCTTACTAATTCCATTCTTCTGGGCTGTTCCTGGGGAGAGAATTTTTTTTTTTTTTTAAACTTTTGAACTACTGTCATTACATGTATCCTAAAATAATCCTAATGAACTATTAACCTAAGTTAAATGCATGTACACTATTAAAATACTACCCACAAATCTTTCATCATTCATACCTGTTTTATTCTCTTTCATTCCCATTCATTCCACTAACTATCCTTGATCTTGATCCATCTCTGCAGGCTGTGTGTGTCTTGCTTGTACTCTGGCGCTTGCTTTCAAGGTTCTCATTCCTTGGTTTGCTCAACAGTCTATTCTGCTCTGGGGTGTCTCTTTGTAGGATAGCTGGTAATCTTGCAAATATACTGACTAAAAATATACTTTAATTTAAAGAGTTAACACAATGCTATTATCAGTGTTCAGTGACTGTATACACTGATATGCCACTATAAAATAACAATGGGAATTAAACGGAAGGTGTTCAATACACTACAGTATGTGACTGTTTTTTATAAATGAAATCAGGGTTTATTTAGCACTTTTTTAAAAATACTTCATCATTAATTTGATATTTACACCAGTACTTTTAAATAATCAACTTGATCTAAATTTCACAATAAATATTGTGTGAACACTAGCAATACTGACATTTTGGTTGTTCTTGATTGCGTTTAACGGTCGGAATGCTTCATTATTCTCGCATTCTTTATTTTATGATACGTTTGGTATTCGACGATCTTGATATTGTATAGATGCTCTTGAAGTGTCGCTTAGAATTTGATGATTTTTGAGGTATCTGGAGAAAATTCGTGTTTCTTGATAGTGATTTTCAAATTTGAATAATTCAGTGGCTGATATGGTTCTGTTCATTCACTGTACAGTACTGGTTGGTGATTTCTGATTTTTGATTGAAATATGATAATCTTGAAGATGAAGACTGCTAAAATGTCAAAGATGATTGTTCAGTTTACTCTTGATTGATATCATTTAACGTCTGTAGCTGTGTGGGAGAGAATCGGTGATATCATTTAACGTCTGTAGCTGTGTGGGAGAGAGAATCGGTGATATCATTTAACGTCTGTAGCTGTGTGGGAGAGAATCGTGTGGGAAGAATCGCGATATCATTTAACGTGATCATCATTTAACGTCTGTAGCTGTGTGGGAGAGAATCGGTGATGTCATTTAACGTCTGTGGCTTTGTGGGAGAGAATCGGTGATATCATTTAACGTCTGTAGCTGTGTGGGAGAGAATCGGTGATATCATTTAACGTCTGTAGCTGTGTGGGAGAGAATCAGTGATTTCATTTAACGTCTGTAGCTGTGTGGGAGAGAATCAGTGATTTCATTTAACGTCTGTAGCTGTGTGGGAGAGAATCGGTGATATCATTTAACGTCTGTAGCTGTGTGGGAGAGAATCGATATCAGTGATGTTCATTTAAACGTCTGTAGCTGTGTAGGAGAGAATCAGTGATTTCATTTAACATCTGTAGCTGTGTGGGAGAGAATCGGTGATATCATTTAACGTCTGTAGCTGTGTGGGAGAGAATCAGTGATTTCATTTAACGTCTGTGGCTGTGTGGGAGAGAATCGGTGATATCATTTAACGTCTGTAGCTGTGTGGGAGAGAATCGGTGATATCATTTAACGTCTGTTGCTGTGTGGGAGAAAATCAGTAAACTGGTATCTGGGATAAAAACCTTTATTGACTTTATGTTATCACAATCGACGTCACTGCACCTTGCACATTCCTGTCCGTGTTCAGTCCTCCGATACAGCAGTCAATCCAAGGTTTAGAAAGTTGGTTATAGTATCCCCTGTCTTGCCGCGGAGATGGCATAGACGTGCTTCAACTGCATCATGATTTCCTCTTCACAATGGACAGTGATAAACATTTTGTGTCTTAATCTAGAGAGCTTTGCTATGATTCGTTTGTGATGTGGTGTGACATTTTGTGTGGTCAGAGTCGACTAATAAAACTTTACCGGCATAGTCAATGGTGACTGAGCTAAAAATATGGCGCTGAATCGTCAGGCTCAACCGCCACCACCCCCCCCCCGCCCATACCTACCCTTACACGGTCCTAATAAGTGGTCAGTACGGGGACTGTTATGGGATGATCCGTGGCCTTAAACTTGTAACCGCGACTCACGGATGTTGTTGATATGTCCAGCCCCCCTGCAATATTTTAGGAAAACCTCCATAAATTGCAGCAACATAGCGAGAATTAGTTCAGTAACCGCACCAGCACCATATGTGAAACACAGTACAGATGCATTAACAAACATAACCCTTTCCCCTTCCCCCCACCCCTTAAGAAAACCTGTCTATTTGTTGGAAACATATGGGTGGACAGAAAGTCACACAAACAGACATGCAGCACTAAACAGTATTTAGACATGCAGACAAGTGAACACACGAGCACGTGCATACCTCTAAGACATACGGTAGTCCAGGTTTGAAGAACTTGGAGGATCTGGTGAACTTCACCACGTACAGATGATCCGAGAAGACCACGCTAACATCTTCACCTTTCTCAGTTCGCCCAGAAGCAGCCTCTGTCACAGAAGCCTGCAAGTGAAGCTTGCCTCCATTGGGGAACCAGACGCTCTGGACGGGCAGTCTCAGTTCTTCAGTGCTAATGCTGCACTCGGTAAATCCGGTGTCGTTGAGCTACAGACAGACATAGGAAAGGCTGTCAGTACTCGCTCTTCAGTTCTCGGGTGTAGAGGAGAAATGTCCATTTGATTAGTCAAAGTGCTACACAGTTTTCCGTTTTATTGATGCACAAGGCCAGTAAGCTACTTCCTGATCATTCGACCGCCCGATATAAATGTTTGATAAGGATGAAGGAGGTTTTTTTTTTAAAGGAATTTGCTCCTGTTCGATTGACATCTCAGAAGTTTCTTTCATGCGGCACTGCGTGTTTTTTTTTTTAATGTCTTTTATTTGTTCAGCGGTTTTCTCATGGTTTTCAAAATGGCCAGTTGTCGGTTTAACTGTGGGCTGGTGAGATACTTTATGGGATAATGTTACTTGTGTGTAGCTATCTTACTGTAACCGAATGCTTCCATCAATGACAAACTGCATGTCTGCTGGCGACTGTTGGCACCTCTAGCAACTAACATTTGCATTTACTGCCAGCGTATATTTCTGAATTGTGCCAGGACTAATTGTTCATCAGTCTTTCAGATAAGACAGTCAGGGACATTTAATCTGATTATCATTGGCACAGGAACGGAGCAAGTATGGGGTGACTCGATTGTAGTAAAGTTCAAACCTGGACTAAGACCAAGTCTAAGAATTGTTATAGTAGCAATCCTGAAAAGTCAAAAAATGAGGGGGGGGGGGGGGGGGGGGGGGGGGCGTTATTACCGTTGATTCTCCCTCTTAAAGTTGGTGGTGATTATATTCCAGAGTTGTCTGTCTTGTGCAGCTCTATCCATTTCCTGTCAGAGTTGTCTGACTTGTACAGCTCTATTTCCTGTCAGAGTTGTCTGTCTTGTGCAGCTCTATCCATTTCCTGTCAGAGTGTCTTGTGCAGCTCTATCCATTTCCTGTCAGAGTTGTCTGTCTTGTGCAGCTCTATCCATTTCCTGTCAGAGTTGTCTGACTTGTACAGCTCTATCTATTTCCTTCATATTTGTCTGACTTGTACAGCTCTATCCATTTCCTGTCAGAGTTGTCTGTCTTGTACAGCTCTATCCATTTCCTGTCAGAGTTGTCTGTCTTGTGCAGCTCTATCCATTTCCTGTCAGAGTTGTCTGACTTGTACAGCTCTATTTCCTGTCAGAGTTGTCTGACTTGTACAGCTCTATCCATTTCCTGTCAGAGTTGTCTGTCTTGTGCAGCTCTATCCATTTCCTGTCAGAGTTGTCTGACTTGTACAGCTCTATCTATTTCCTTCATATTTGTCTGACTTGTACAGCTCTATCCATTTCCTGTCAGAGTTGTCTGTCGTGTACAGCTCTATTCATTTCCTGTATATCTATTTACATTTATGGATCTCTGCTTTATAAATGTTGTTATTGTCTTGTCTTGTTCTCTGTACCTCACACTCTGCCATTTGGTGCTTGCTTTGTTCGCTTTTCATATTTTTCCAGGAGAACCATCAACATTTTCATTAGTCTTCTTTGTTGTGTTTTATTTTCCGGAATTTTTTCACTTTGTCAATGCAGCTACTTCTAGTATTGACTTCCCGCCTCCCTTTCCCACCCCCTCCCTGCAACTTTGTAACATGACATCAAAAATGCCTACCTGAAATATATACTGTGACCTGCCAGATGGAAATTTCAAACCAAACAATGCAACAAATGAATATTTGCAGAGGACGCATACTAAATCGTGCATGGTGATTCAAGTCCTCTTCAACGGACACAAACGGGAAACGAACATACTTCGTTAATAGAAATACATCTGTAGCACATCGGAAATGACAGCAAACAACTAGTCCAAACTGGTGTTTGTGTGTCTCTATTGCTACAGTACGAGTGACACTGGCGTTTCTCCATATACAATGGGTTATGTTTAAAGTTGTTTAAGTGATCACTGGTTCCAGTTGTCTCACTGGTCACTGGCCGTGGTTGTCCCACTGGTTCCAATTGTCCCACTGGTTCCAATTGTCCCACTGGTCACTGGCCGTGGTTGTCCCACTGGTTCCAGTTGTCTCACTGGTCACTGGCCGTCATTGTCCCACTGGTTCCAGTTGTCTCGCTGGTCACTGGCCGTGGTTGTCCCACTGGTTCCAGTTGTCCCACTGGTTCCAGTTGTCCCATTGGTTCTAGTTGTCCCACTAATCTCTCAGACAGCCTTGCTTGTAAGGTGTGCAGTGTATTGGTTGTATCAGTTTGTGTTGCAGATAAACTAATTTTGGTATCCGCAGCATCGAATGTTTAACAATTGCTCATCCCGTATGTTGTACCTACAACTCCGTTCAGCCTTGTATGTTTATCAATTGCTCATCCCGTATGTTTATCTACAACTCATTTCAGGCGGGGGCGCTTATCTATTTAGTGAACCAATAACGGGGGCGCTAATCTATTTAGTAAACCAATCTAAAATCCTTGCCTGCAAATTTCGCCTCTTGCCAACAGTAAACACGTGCCCGTGCCAAAGAAGGCCGAAGGTCACTGACACGTGACCTTTGACTGGTTTCCCGTATGTATACCTGTTTGAAATGAAAGAAAAGTTCTAAATAGCTTCAATAAAGTGATTTTACAACAGTCTGGATTTTCCTTTAAAATTTCATCGGTTTTTTTTTTTTACATAGATGTCTTCATAAGTGTGCCAGTCTTCTTTTATTAAAAGAATAAGCGCGGTAAGACGTTTATACTGAGGGGGCTGCGTGGTCTCGATGCATGGCGTTCGCCTCGAGTGCTAGAGGTTCCGGGTTCAATCCCTAGTAAGGGCTGGGATTTTTCAGGTGGACTTGGACTGCTAGTAATTCCCCCTACTCTGGGTAGTGAGCTATGTGCATTGTTGCTCACGTAAAAAATCCATTGTAAATCGAAAAGAGTAGCCTAACGGCGATGCCCAGGCAAAATTTGGAGTTAAATAAGTAAGTATTTCAGCAGTGCTACAGAGCTTGTAACTTCTGTAACTGCTGAGCTTCTTAGGACTCAGACTGAGTTTGTTTGTTTGTTTTAGTATCCAGAAGCCATGAGTTGTTAACCCTTAGGCTCGGTATTATGGATATAGCAACCTTTCGGCCTTGATTCCATTTTAAATACCGTAAATCTGGGAGAAATGTGGCTTTTCTACCCACCCCCGGGAGTGAACCCGGACCACAAGGAGTTCGTCACCCGCGCAATCGGGTTTAGCCAACTACGCTAGAGAGACGGAAGAAGAAGAAGAACGGAGCACTTATGGGTTGCTACCCGTGGGCCATTATGTTGATCAGTTGTTGAAGACATCAAAACTTCGTTTGAACTCCGTAGTTCTGGAGACGATCAGAACAGATACAAACCAGACTGTTCTTTTTAATCTTCAGCTGCTGCAATTTGTAACAGAGCAGCTAAACATAGAGTCATGATAAAAGCAATCGTACAACACAAACGGATAAGACAAACATACAAAGAAGACAGACGAGAAAGACAGAAAAAAAAAATTATTTTAAAAATTGTAAAGATTGACGGACCATCTGACAGGCAAATAAACAAGTCAAACAACATTGGTTAGACAGAAACTCACACCTTTTTTTAATATTGGGACTAAGCGTCGGGAGAGAGAGAGAGAGAGAGAGAGAGGGGGGGGAGAGAGAGAGAGAGAGAGAGAGAGAGGGGGGGGGAGCGAGAGAGAGTGAAGGAGAGAGAGAGAAGTAGAGAGAGTGATAGAGAAAGAGAGAGATACAGACAAAGCTAGAGAGATATATATATAGATATAATTAGAGATAGAGAGAGAAAGAGACAGACAGAGCTAAAGAGAGAGAGAGAGAGAGAGAGAGAGAGACAGAGAAATGGAGAGAGAGAGAGAGAGAGAGAGAGACGGGTAGAAAGAGAGAGAGATAGAGATTAATGGCGCCATTCTAATAGCGATAACCAGGAATAGATTCACAGATGAAAGGCTGCATAATTGTCCATTAAGACTTGATTCCACACACTGACAGCGGGAGCGACAGGTGGAAGATATCGTCGTCACCTCGTCTGTTTATCGCTTGATGGAAACCCATAACAGACAAACAAACGGAACAAATATGCGAAACGAACGACGTTATTTGTGTTTTTTGGGGAGGTAAGCGCACCTGATATTTCATTTATAGTCTTCCATTTAAATTTGCTGTCTTATCCTCACAGCTCGTAAAATATTGTCAGAACTATTCGTGCAACAAAACCTCCCCCACAACCTCAAACGTCACCACCGCAACCACCACTACGACTACAACTACTGCTGCGACGACATCTGCTGCTGTGCTGCTACTACTACTACTGCTGCTACTACCACCAGAGGGGAGGAAACAGAACGCATAGAACATTCATATCTAGATAGAAAGATTCCGCCACTAGAAAGGTGAGGCTATAGGTTATATTGCTTCTACCAAGGGAAGAAAACAAATTGCAACTGGCACTGTTGCTATGGAAACTGTTCGTTGGCTACTGATGGATGGCAAAACATGTATCGGGATATCCCAAGAAGAGTGATCAATTCTTGATTGATTCATTCATTACTACCACCACCACTACCACCACTATTACTACTACAACTATTACTAATACGTCTTCTACTACTGCTGTTACTACTACTACTACTACTACTACTACTACTACTACTACTACTACTACTACTACTACTACTACTACTACTACTACTACTACTACTACTACTACTACTACTACTACTACTACTACTACTACTACTACTACTACTACCACCACTACCATCACTATTACAACAACAACAACGGCCACTACCACTATTACTGCTAGTTATTTGACCACCATTACTGCTGTTGCTGCTACTGCTAGTATTACTCATACTACTACTACCATTGCTACTACTGCTGTTGCTACTACTGCTAGTATTTCTCATACTACTACTACCATTGCTACTACTGCTGTTGCTACTACTACTAAAGCTGATGCTGATGCTACCACCACTACTACTGCTACTGCTGCCGCTGCTCCTAGGACTACTGTTATTAGGACAACATTCAAAGTAACAGTAATAAATGCAACAACAAAAGCAGATATGACATTTACAGCAGAATAAGACACACGTTCCTGCTGTATTCTATACAGATTTGTAAATGTACATGCAACGTTTGCTAAAGTTGTGTTGCAACAGCTCGTAGTAACAAGAGAACAGGTGGCTGGTCACTCTGACCCGCATCCCATGCCAGCGTTAAAAAAAAATATGGAAGGCGCAAATTGTTTCCTTTTTTTAAGGTTTTATTTTAATGATTTTCCAGAAGACGATATTTTTCATTTTCCTCAAGTTTCCTCTAGTTGTATTTTACTTTACTTTCAAAAGGAATGTTGTAAACTAATTTTTTTTCCTGAACTGCAAAGTCAGTTTTTGTGAAGCTGTCGCGGTTTCACTAATGTTTCAATATCTTCGTGTTGAATGCTGACAGTCGTGTGTGACCATGATTCTTCAACTCACAGTAACTCTAGTCTCTCTTGTCTGTTTTATTAACTCATTCGAGCCTTTTGACCGATTTTTTGGAATCTGTGTATGCTTTCTGTTGTATCCCTCATTACGTTGACCCACAATAACCTACATTGCCAAGGTTTCCTCTCCTCATTACGTTGACCAGACATCACCACATTGCCAAGGTTCCCTTCACTCATTACGTTGTCCAGACATCACCACATTGCCAAGGTTCCCTTCACTCATTACGTTGACCAGACATCACCACATTGCCAAGGTTCCCTCCACTCATTACGTTGTCCAGTCATCACCACATTGCCAAGGGTTCCTCTCCTCATTACGTTGTCCAGACATCACCACATTGCCAAGGTTCCCTTCACTCATTACGTTGTCCAGTCATCACCACATTGCCAAGGGTTCCTCTCCTCATTACGTTGACCAGACATCACCACATTGCCAAGGTTCCCTTCACTCATTACGTTGTCCAGTCATCACCACATTGCCAAGGGTTCCTCTCCTCATTACGTTGACCAGACATCACCACATTGCCAAGGTTCCCTTCACTCATTACGTTGTCCAGTCATCACCACATTGCCAAGATTTCCTCCACTCATTACGTTCACCAGACATCACCACATTGCCAAGGGTTCCTCTCCTCATTACGTTGACCAGACATCACCACATTGCCAAGGTTCCCTTCACTCATTACGTTGTCCAGTCATCACTACATTGCCAAGGGTTCCTCTCCTCATTACGTTCACCAGACATCACCACATTGCCAAGATTTCCTCTCCCCATTACGTTGACCAGTCATCACCACATTGCCAAGGTTTCCTTCACTCATTACGTTGTCCAGTCATCACTACATTGCCAAGATTGCCTCCCCTCATTACGTTGACCAGACATCACCACATTGCCAAGGTTTCCTCCACTCATTACGTTGACCAGTCATCACCACATTGCCAAGATTTCCTCTCCCCATTACGTTGACCAGTCATCACCACATTGCCAAGGTTTCCTTCACTCATTACGTTGTCCAGTCATCACTACATTGCCAAGATTGCCTCCACTCATTACGTTGACCAGACATCACCACATTGCCAAGATTTCCTCCACTCATTACGTTCACCAGACATCACCACATTGCCAAGGTTTCCTCTCCTCATTACGTTGACCAGACATCACCACATTGCCAAGATTTTCTCTCCTCATTACGTTGACCAGTCATCACCACATTGCCAAGGTTTCCTCCACTCATTACGTTGACCAGACATCACCACATTGCCAAGATTTCCTCCCCTCATTACGTTGACCAGACATCACCACATTGCCAAGGTTTCCTCCACTCATTACGTTGACCAGACATCACCACATTGCCAAGGTTTCCTCCCCTCATTACGTAGACCAGCCGTCACCACATTGCCAAGGTTTCCTCCACTCATTACGTTGTCCAGACATCACCACATTGCCAAGGTTTCCTCCACTCATTACGTTGACCAGACATCACCACATTGCCAAGGTTTCCTCCACTCATTACGTTGCCCAGACATCACCACATTGCCAAGGTTTCCTCCACTCATTACGTTGTCCAGACATCACCACATTGCCAAGGTTTCCTCCACTCATTACGTTGACCAGACATCACCACATTGCCAAGGTTTCCTCCACTCATTACGTTGCCCAGACATCACCACATTGCCAAGGTTTCCTCCACTCATTACGTTGACCAGACATCACCACATTGCCAAGGTTTCCTCCACTCATTACGTTGCCCAGACATCACCACATTGCCAAGGTTTCCTCCACTCATTACGTTGACCAGACATCACCACATTGCCAAGGTTTCCTCCACTCATTACGTTGCCCAGTCATCACCACATTGCCAAGGTTTCCTCCCCTCATTACGTTGTCCAGTCATCACCACATTGCCAAGGTTTCCTCCACTCATTACGTTGACCAGTCATAATGAGGGGACCAACCAACCACTTTAGGAAGAGAGACATTTGCGACAAGAAAGGAATTTTACAAGATTTGAAGATTTGCCCATGAATGAAGATCTTAGTAAGATCAACGAATTACTCT